TTCCTCTTGCAGAGGAAACCCTCGCTAGGAACCACTGGTAAGTCCCAATTTGAGTTTATTTGGATTCTGTCTCCACTTTTCCAGCAGGTACAGGCTGGACTGCAAGGTCAGAAGATGAACTCCAGCTCTCCAGGAACTCCTGACCCCTGTAACCCAGCTCAGCTCCCAGGCAGGGTTTCCTTTGTAAGATGAGGAAGGGACAGCATCCCTTTGATAAGGTCAGGGGAGAAGCCTAGAGAAGAAACTTCCCACTGGTGGGGTTTGGGGCCAAAGCAGAGGCCTGGCTGAACCCTGTGGCCCCCGACCCTGCCCTGGGAACAGCTCTTCTTGCTCTGGCCCAGTGTGGGCCCCTCCCTCCCTACAGGGTCCTCCAGAAGGGATGGCCACTTCTGCCATCCTGGTGGATGGTGCCCGTGCCCTTATGCACAGGTATCGATCATCTTTATTATTACCTATTGTAAAACATCGCGTTCACGCAGCAGAAACATACATGTAAACATCTGCTCTCTGTCCAGACAGGTTTGGTTGTTGGTGGCGTCATTTTAAGAAACAGCAGGTACAACTCCATCTCCACAGGACCCAAGTGTTTTCATGGACTAACAGTCTGAATTGAGAACTCGTGCTCCTGGTTTGCAGTGCTGGGCAGGTTTAGGAGGGTGGCTGACATTTCGAAGAGCGTTTTTTGTCATGGTGGTTTGTCATTTGGGTGTTTTAGAAACACAGTTGATCAAAGAAATCGCAGCAGAAAAACTGAACACTTGGCTACATCTTTGGATTACTGGGCTCCAGGGCACCCAAGCCAAACCTTTCAAACCGGGGTACCATTTTGCTGCTGTTAATGCTGCAAAGAGGAAGAAAAACAAGGGTTATAGCCTCGATGGTCTTAATCAGAAGTAGGGTAACACTAGCTAAGGAGCAGGCCAGTTCCAGAAGCTCGGGAAGGGCCTGGTCACCCACCAAGAAGTGAAAATGACTGCAGCTAACAGCCTTGGAAGAGCCGCTCCTGGTCACACATGGAGGGGCTAAGTCTGGTCCTCTGTCAACCGTGCCTGGAGGGCAAGGACAGCGACTCGCTTCTCTCTGAATCTCAGGCGCCCAGCATGCTCAGTAACTTTGTGGGTGCATTGGAACTGTTTTATTTGCTTTTGTTCCGAGTAGAAGTGAGGAAGAAGAGAAACCTCACCCCAAGTACTGAGGGTAACATCTCATACTCCTTTTGAAAGTGCTTCTCAAACCTTAGGATCCATCAGGGTCATCTGGGAGGATGACTGAAATGCAGACTCCCAGAGCCCACCTGCTGAGATCTGGATTCAGCAGGTCCTGGATGGGGTCCAGGAATCTGCATTTCATAAGTCCTCCAGTGACTCTGATGCACATGGCCTGAGAGTCATACCTCAATGACTGCTGACTTGGGGTCTATGGTGCATGGGATGGATGTAAAGGTAATGACTGTGGTGGTAATGACTGTGGGGCAGGGAGAGGAAGAAGATTTGTTTTTATTAATGAAATTGGAGACAGGCACCCGTTTGCTTTAGGAAAACTTGGTGTCTTTCATGGCAACAGGTCTTTTTGTGTCTATGACTCCCAGAGGGAGACTACAGATGGGACGAGGAATTAATGGGGGTTCTTGTGTCCACAGTGCTGGCGACCTTGGCTTAAGGGGATACGGCCTCTTGGCAGCTCTAAATCACTCCACTCCTTGTTGGATGAGATCCCCATGGGTTAAAAGCCAAGCAAAACTCCTGCCCCGTGTACTGTGAACACACGCAGCAGGAGGCTGGTGCCCTCAGGGGTTGGGGTTTAATCTCACTAAGATGTTAGCAGTGAGCCAGCACCACCCAAACAAAAACAAAACCATCCCACAGGAGAAAAAGGGAGAGAAAGGAAAGTCACGGCCAGGAAGGTAGTTAGAAGGTCTCGAACAGCCTTGGTGGGGAACTCGGTTAGTGGTGGGATCTTCCCGCCAAGAGCAGTGACTCAGGCACACACAGGCCACGTGGAGAGGGGAGAGTTCAAAAAACAAAGCAAAAGAAGAAGTTTCGGGAGAGAGGGCTGCAGCAGCAGAGATTGCATCCCCTGGGTTAGTGCCTGCGTCTTGTTTTGTGTTTTAGCAGAAGTCCTGGTCCCAAGTTGTCCGTTAGGAAGAAGAAAGCCCCAGGTGCATGCAAGGCAGTCAGGCCTACAACCTACAGGAGGGAAGAGAAGAAGGGAGAGAGCAGCGTCAGAACCAGCAGCCACAGAGCGAGCCTGAGGTGAGCATTAGATGCCCGGCTATGGCAGCAGGCAGGGGACCCTCACTCCCTTCAAAAAGAGAAAGGGACATGTCCTGCCCCCATCCTGGGCTTGGCAGCAGGGCAAGCTTAGAAGAGGAGTCTGGGAACAAAGAACCTTCTCCAAACTCCCCCACAGCCCCGTCATGCTTATGAAGAAGGTGCTCGATAGCAGGCGGCTAATAGACACATTGCTCCTTACCCACTGACTGTCAAAATTTACTTCCCGGAGCTTGACACTTTTGCTCACTGGATTCCCTACTTTTGAGCTCTGGCCAGAGGAGACCTTGGGGACTCAGACCAATGATCCAAGTTCTCTTCCACCCAGAGTTAAGCTAGCCGTGAGCCCACAGCCTGGCTGCACTGTCCATGGATAGAGGGTCTTCTCTCAGCTATAGAACCCTGCACTACCCTTGCTGGCCACTTCAGCTGAATGTCACTTTGGTTTATGGGCATCAGACACAAAAGAAGGGAAGCTGGGGTGCAAAGACAAAGCAGGAAGCAGGGTGTGCAATGGGATAACCACAAACAGGCAGAAAAATGAGGGAAATAACAGAAAACACACTATTCCTCCAGAATCGAACAGGAATTCTTAAAGTCAGAGTGACCGTAACGTCCTTTCCCATGGAAGCGCCGACAGCGACTGGGAGTGCCCGCGCCCGTTTCGCCAGGTGTGGGAAGGATGTAGTCCAGGCGGTGAGAGCCCCGCAGGTAATGGCACCAGGGCCGGTGCAGACAGGTGCAGGAGAGGCCGGAGGAATCATGACGGTAGGAAAGGGGGAAATGACAGGCCAGGCCAGTGCACCCGCCACCCACCGAAAACAAAAAAGCAATAAGACCAATGGAAAAGAAAAGAGAAAATGAGGATTAGAAGTTGAGGGTGTAGAAAGCAAAAATCATGAACAAAGCTTTCGACACAGACTCATTTAGGCATGCTGGTGTGCTTTCCTTTAGGGGGCTAGAACCAATCCATTTGGGCAGGTAAGAGCCCCATCATGTGACTCAGTTTCCCACCTGTGAAGTGAGAAGATGGGGCTAACTGGTTGTCAGGGAATCCAGAATGATCTCCTGAATGTCAGGACTCACCTAGTGCCACCCTCTCTTTCATGGATGAGAACACCAGGGCCCAGGTTGCTAAACGAGTTGCCCAAGGTCCAAAAGAAGCAGATGGGAAGTGGGCCGTGCCTCCTCATACCCTCCCTGACTGTGTGCAAGTCCAGGAGAAGCCCAGGCTCCAGCCTCTGCCTGGATAGTTCCCACTCAACATGCAGCTGCCGTGACCCTTCTTCTGGACAGCCTTCCTCAAGCCCCCCGGTGGGTGAGAGGCACCAGATGTTCAAAAACATAGAGCCCCGTGCTTTGCTTTTTTACAGCACTCAGCACATTGTAATCACTCACTCATTCATTCACTCACCCAGTATTTACTAAGTACTATGCTCCTGGGACTGTGCTAGGAGCAGGGACTACAGAAGGGAACAAGACAGGGCTCTGCCCACATGGAGGTTTCCTTACAGTGTGTCTGCTTGTCTTCATCCTCTATTAGACTGTAAACTCCCTACTGGCAGAGACTCAGCCCTGGCCATCTGTGTCCCCAGGTGTGTAGCTGGTAGTCAGCAATGGTGAACTAAAACCCCACACATCCCTAATGGCAACATTTCGTGACCCCCCGATTTGTACTGGACTCTGACCCATCTTAAGAGCCAAATATTGCACATAATACTGCATTGTAAGAGAAAGTATTCCCTAACCCCAAACTTTCATTCATCCAGACCTTCCTTTCAACTGGCCCAGATCATCAGAGTTTGCTCTACAAGGGCAGAGCTGAGGACTGGATGCAGAGACCGTACGTCATGCTCACATCACTTCACACAGCTGCTCAACACACTACAGATCACTGTGGCACTGGTATCACCCGAATTTGCCTCTTAGCTTGCAAAGCCTAAAATATTTACCACCTGACCCTTCAGAAAACATCTGTCTGCCCCTGATCTCAGCCAACCCCTGCTGTTTAAAGATGAGAAATGGAGGCCCAGAAAAATGGAAGACCTCCCCAGATTCTCACAAAGTGTTTGTGGCAGGGCTAGGGTCTCTTTGAGTGTTCCGGAGAGTGGGCCAGTGGGACAAAGAAATAAGAGAGTGAGACAGACACAGACGAGATGACAATGGCCTCCACTGTCCAATGGAGATGATCCCTGCCCCGAGGGGTGCAAAGGTTTGTGCGATTAAACGGAAGGGGCCAAAGGGCTTCAACCGTCGAAGTGCCACATAAACCCAAGTGATGTGGTTCCCATAAGAGGTGGCTGACTTTTTGTGCTAGAAAGCTCGGTCTTTGAGTCTGTGTCACTTTAAACAATACTGGCTCTACTTATTTTGGGGAAACTCAATACCTACGTCCCTCTTATTCCAGCTGGCCCCGTCCTGCCCCTTCCTAGGCAGAATCTTCTTGTCTTCTTGTCTGGGCCCAGTGTCAGCTCTCATCGAATAATTAGTGAGATGTAGTTTTTCACGGATGAGCACCACAGGTGTTTACCAGTCAAAAGGAGTCTTCAAACTCCACTTGGTAAATTAAATCCTAGTATCACTTGCAGCGAGGGAACCAGTCATCTGGTTAGTCTGCTTTGTGAATTTCCCACATCAAAGTCTTGGTCAAATAAAGCAGTAGGTGCCAGCTAAGAACCTGGTGGGGCTGGAGGGGACCGACCTGCAAGTTCTGGCCCCCCAGAGGAGTACTTACTCAGCTGACTTCCAGAAGTGCCCGGGGTGGGAGAGGCGCCGGTTCAGCTTGGGCAGTTTCTCCAGCATGTCCATCAGCAGGGGGAAGCTGGGCCTCTCCTGCAGGTTGAATGCCCAGCAGGCAGACAGGATCTCCTGCAAATGGAGCTGGCATTAGCAGGTGCCTGTGCTGGCTAGAAGCCAGTGGGGGCACAGCTGGGGCACTCTGCACAGGGTCCCTTTGATGCTCTCAAAAGTTCCCAGCTGGTGGCCCCCTGAACACCCTGCCCACATTAAGAAGACAGGCCTTGGACTAATGAACCAGTTACCAAGGCCTCCACCAGACTGAGTCCAGTACAGCTTGATGGTGCCTGGCTACCACCACCAGCTGCTCTGACAGGGATCACAACAGAGGGTTCTGGACAGAGCTAGAGAAGGATGTAGAACAAAATTGTAACACACACAAAAAAAGACCAGATTTACTGGCCTGAAAGAGACTGGAGAAACTCTGAGAGTATGGCCCCCGGACACCCTTTTAGCTCAGCGGTGAAGTCACTTCTGAGGTTCACCGTTCAGCTGGGGATTGGACAGCCCCATAAAACAAAATGGGACTAATGAGGCACAGCAGTCCAGGGACAAGGACTAGAAGGCAGAAGGGGACAGGAAAGCTGGTGATAGGGAACCCAAGCTTGAGTAAGGACAGTGTTGACCTGTAGTGCGGTTGTTAACCATTGTCATAGGGCAACATGTGTACTAACTGTTTAATGAGAAACTATTTTGTTCTGTAAACCTTCATCTGAAGTGAGAATAGCAGCACAACTGGAAGAATGGAATCGATGTCACTGAACTGTGCATGTAGAAATTTTTGAAATACTGTATCTTTGGCTATATATATTTTCACCAAAAAAAAAAAAAAAAAAGGTAGAAAAGAGAGAGGGTTGACATGTCGTGGGGTTGTTAACCAATGTCATAAAACAATATGTGTACTAGTGTTCTATGAGAAACTATTTGTTATGTAAACCTTCACCTGAAGTACAATAAAAAAAGAAGACATGCTATTGCCTGGCTGAGAAAAACTACATTTCAGGAGAGCTCTGGTCCTTCCAGTTTAAAATGAAGCATACTGATTTGAGGGAATGCCGGGGGTGGCGTGGGGACTCTAGAAGCTACTATATCCATAAAACAAGACCAGGGTGCAGTAAAAAAGAAATAATCAGGAAATAAGGAAGTGCTTGAAATGAAAAATGTAACTTCTAAAACAAAACATTATTTAGAAGTACTGGAAGATAAAATCAAGACAATCCCCCCAGATTGTGGGCCTAGTTTTAGACAGGGATAGAAATATGAGAGAAGGTAAGAGACATGAAGCCTCTACTCACAAGGACCAAATTCTATCTAACTGGCATTCCCACAAGGGGAAACAACGAAACCAGAGGGCAGGAAATTATCCGTTTCAAGGTATAATTATTTTATGCTTTAAATTTTTTTTTTTTTGATACTATGTGTTTTCATTAATGGAAGTATGCAGAATCATGGAGTGTGTTTAAATTTTTGGTTGGTAATATGGATCTTGAGAAATATTATCTGGTACTACATGATTACCACAGAACTTTTAAGGTTCTCGAATCCGTAATTGGCAGTTGCCCATCTGTACCACTGGACCTTGGCTGCTGATGTCTTTCATGGCGTCTTCCATGAGGTTACATGAGGAACTTCTGGTTTTCCGAATATGACACACATACACACACACACACACTCTCACACACACACACCAGACCCACCAGGGCTCCCTAACTATCACATAGGAAACCATAAATATGCTTACAAGACTTATCTAGGGGTACAAAAGCCAAAAGATACAAAATTTTTACCCAATCACACTTCCTAACTTGCAAGCCTCAACCCCAGCTATTTTGCTTCAACTAACATTTCTTTCAATTTCACAGCTATGCAAGTCCCCACTGGAGGGAAGCAAATACTTTCAGTGGTAAAAGTATACTACCAAAAACCTGAAAGCGAGAAAAAGTAGGTGGTACATCGTATACACCATGGACCACGAAAGGGATTGAAAAGAAATAATTGAAGAAAATTTCCTAGAAATCTTCTCAACAGGAGTCTTCAGAACGCAAGATGCAGGACGCTCATTGGAAAAAAAATCTACATTCAGACATTATGAAATTTCACTATCACAAGAATAAAGGGAAGATCCTAGATGTTTCCAGTGAGAATCAAACAGGTCATCTACAAAAGACTGACAATAAGGCCAAAAACAGACTTCTCAACAAGGAACTGGGCACTTAGTAGACAGCAGAACAAAATCTTGAAAGTTGTCAGGAAAAATTACTTTGAACCTGAAATTCTATTCCTGGTGTGAGGACAAAAAAAAAAAAACAAAACAACAACAAACCTCTAGAGCTACTACATCCATGAAACAAGACCAGGGTGTAATAAAAAAGAAATAATCAGAAAATAAGGAAGTGCTTGAAATGAAAAATATAATTTCTTAAACAAAACATTATTTAAAAGTACTGGAAGATAAAATCAAGGTAATCCCCCCAGATTGTCAGCCTAGTTTTAGATAGGGAGGACAAAATAACGACATTTTCAGTTACGTAAAGCCTCAAAGATCATCTTTCATACATCCATTGGGAGGCAGTTTCTTTAGGTTTCACACTCATTTTGCTGGACTGCGATTAATAAAGGGGAAAACATGAGATACAAGAATTAGTACAATTGACCCAGGAATGAGTGAAAAGAAACAGAAGATGACAGCTATGCCCAGGCCTAGAATCCCAATGATTCAAATGGTAAGAAAGCAGTGGGCTCTGAGAAGAGGGGGACAGACTCAGAATGAGGAAGGAGCTGCAAGATCTCAGGAATGTGATGAAGGTGTTTGTTTCCTCTCTCATCAAGAAGAAAAGAAAGGCAACTAGAAACTCCAGGGGAAACCTACAACTGCACAAGACATGGTCCAAATGTGAAGTCAACAAAATTATGGTCAGTCTTAGAGCAACTGATGGAGTTGTAAGAAAAGAGACGGACCCACAAAGAAGAAAATATAATTCTAGTGAATGACCTGACCAGCAGCTAGCAGCACTTACAGTCTATTATAATAGTGAACACACACTTCTTGCTTTTAGCCTCTATCTATAGACACAGCATGGAAGATTTAATCATGAAATCAACCTTAAAAATGGTGTAAAAACAAGGGAAAGCTGACGTGCAGAGGAAGGGGAAGACTGATGGGGAGTAAAGAGCGATGGAACAAGAAAAAGTTAGTGCCTTTTGTAAGGAGCAGAGGAAGGGACTGCTGGTTTCCTTCCATTAAGAGCCCTCTGGGCCTTCTGATGTCTTTCTATGTGCACGTATTACCTAGATAAAACGACTAAATCACTATGGCTGCTTTGTCACATAAAACAGTGCCAAGTTCTAAAAAACCAAGAACACACACATACACATGTATTTCTTTGTATAAACCAGAACATGTATGTATGCTTGTTTTATCTGAAAGAAATAAGTATTCTTAGTAAGTTGCCCTCCTGGCAACCATCTCAGTTACCTTTCTGCACACTTACAGTCTTGTAGCAGAGAGAGCTAAATGCTGTTATATGCTGTTGTTGTTAGGTGCTGCCCATGGCTTGGGTCAGGCACATTTTAGTCCTCAAAGTGACACCTTTACTTCTTAACACTTTAAAGAGGTCTTTTGCAGCACATTTGCCCAATGCAATACGTCGTTTGATTTCTTGACTGCTGCTTCCACAGGCTTTACTCCATCCACATCATAAAGGTTGACTCTACTTTGAGGAGACAGCTCTTTCCCAGTCATATTTTGAGTGCCTTCCAACCTGAGGGGCTCATTTTCCGGCACTGTGTCAGACAGTGTTCTGTTGCTATTCATAAGGTTTTCATTGGCCAATGTTTTTACAAGTAGATCACCAGGTCCTTCTTCCTAGTCTGTCTTAGTCTGGAAGCTCTGCTCAAATCTGTCTACCGTGGCTGACCCAGCTGGTATTTGAAATACCAGTGGCATATCTTCCAGTATCACAACAATACCCAAGCCACCAAAGTACAACAAACTGACAGAGGAGTGGTGGGCTGTTTTATATATATATATATCTCTATCTCTATCTATATGTATCTACGTCTATATCTCTATATACGTATGTTACAGCAGCCAGCTTCTGGCTCATGAGAATTGTTCTTTCAAGAGCAACAGGTTAAAAAGAAAAGACAACTCTCACAAGCCAGAAGCTGGCTGCTGTAACATTTTCTTTGTCTCCATCCCAACTCTCAACCTATTAAAAAGCTTCAAAGAAAGACCATAAGCAAGTACTATAAGAAATCCTTTCAGATCTCTAACCAATTAGTTCAGAACTCTGGCTGCACAATGGAATTACTCAAGAAGCTTTATTTAAAAATTAAAAAATTAACGATGACCTTGGTTATATCCCAGGCCAATTAAATCGGCATCCCCTGGGGCGAGGTTCTGGCACTGGCATTTTTAAAAAGCTCCCAGAAGATTCCATTGTGTAGCCAGAGCTAAGCCTAACTCCCACCCAGCCCTCTGATGTGCTCTGGGCTCAGCTCCAGGCCTTCAGCCCCCTGAAGGCAGCACTTAGGTCTCTCTGCCCCAAGGCTGTAAGTGTGCAGAAAGGCAACTAGGATTGTTGCCAGGAGGGCAACTAACTAAGGATAGTTTTTTTTTTTCCCAGATAAAACATTCACACATCTGTACTCTAGTTTATATAAAGATGATCTTAATAACTTTATTATAAAAGGTAAAATTGGGAATAACCTAAATGCCCAATGACAGAGAAATAGTTACAGTGTAGCCACAGGACAGAAGAGGAGACAGGTTTAAAAATAAAGATTTGTTAATGATTTCCGATCATGACATAATAAAATGTGTGATCCTGATTTTTTTAAAGATATGTATTTTTAGAATATTTTTTAAAAAGACTTCAGCTGCTTTCCAAGCCGCCCGCGGAGCTCAGCCAAGAAGCCCACAGCCCACGACTTGAACTTGCTGCTATCCTCCAAGGGCGCCCAAGGCCACGCCACGGTGAACATGGTGTTCAACTTGGCTCTGGCCCAGAAGGAGGCCAAGAAGGGCGAGCCCAAGAGCAGTGAGGAGGTGCTCACTCCCCGTCCCATCACGCCACCTAACGTCCTTGCTGTGGCCTGCAAGGCCCCAAATGAAGTGGTACTGGCTAGCCAAAAAGAGCCTGCTGTTGCTGCTCTGCACTAGCACTTTGGTGTCATTCTTGGAAGGGCACACCTGTACCAATATCTGACACCTCAACCAGATGACGTGTACCACTGCGGAATAAGTATTAAACATGACATCATCTTAAATGAGCTTTCTGAAGATGCCCAGCTGCCAGACAACTGAGGAAAACACTAAGATCTTTGAGGAAGATGAAGCTGCATTCATCACTGTGCCTATCCTAGAGTTTGCAGATAGTGATCCAGCCGACACTGTTTACGACTTTAATAAGAAACTCAAAACCCAGATAAGTGTTACGTGGTCCCTCTGAACACTTCCACTGTTATGTTGCCCAGATACATATTGAAGTTACTTATTAACATCAAGGCTGGAACCTAATTGCCCCGTCCTATCTGATTCCCAACCCCATGGTTATCACTCATAGCACTGAAAACGTTGATCCTCCAGGTTTCTTTATGTATGGACTGTGCCACAACAAGTAAACTTACAAACTGCAATGCAGAGAAACCACTGAAGGGATTCAGAAATGCGAAGTCAGCAATCATATTATAATTCAGCATTTTGCAAACAAATTTGCCTTGGAACCTTCAATTGTTCTTGAACAGTTAAGAAAAGCACTAGGGAGAAAGATTTGCTATCACAGCATAAACTCCTCCTTCCCATTTTCATTTGATGCAGTGACTGTTTTAAGTCTTCTTTTATGTAACATACAGGGCTTTACTTTAATCTTTTCATCTCATAATTCAATTAAAACCATTACCTTAAAAAAAAAAGACTGGAAGGAAATAAAAAGGTTAACACTGGGATAATTATACATGGTTTTATTTTCTTTTTCTGCATCTCTGTTCTTTTTCTCATTTCCCATAAATGTATATTGTTTTTAGTCTCTAATTTAGACACCTATGGGTGACAGAGCCCCCCACCCCAGTCCCATTTCTTAGGTGGGCAAATAAAGGGCAGCCATGTAATGTGCCCCAGCCCCACACTCTAGCTCCACTTCCCCCTCTCCTCTGGGGGAACAGGTGGCTACTCACGATGACCTCCTTCCCCAGGCTGACGGAAGCCAGGATACGCTTCACTCCTTCTCCACTTCCAATCTGCCAGATCAGGGCCTCTGCTGCTTGGTTCTTAAAGGGCCAGTCTCTTGCTTGTAGCTCATACCAGATAGTCCTGTGGAGACCAATCCACACAGCGTGAGCTCCCAGATGGCCCCAGCTCATGCTCCAGGGGCTCTGCAGCTAGAGGGCTGGCCACTGCAATGCCAGGAGCTGAGCTGGAGGACCCAGGATCCTTTTCCAGTCCTTCCTCACCCCACCAGGCTTCAGCAGACACCATGATGGCATCCTGGAGGCATCTGCCTAAGCACCAGAGGATCCTCCTGAGGTAGAAAGTGAGGCAGGCTCGAAACAGAGTGCTGAGGCATTGGTGGTTGTTCTGACCTGAGTTTGAACTCCGGCTCTGACACTTTCTAGCAGTAAAACTGTTGAACCTCAGCAGGATTGATGCCTACTTCACACGTTTGTTTGAGGAGTAACTAAAATGCCAAGGCCAGAGCCTGGCACACGTAGGGGCTCAGGCAATGGTACAGCGAAAGGTCAGGGGAGGGAGAGGGGAACCCAGGCGAGCTTGTGGAAGGCTGCCAGAGAAGTTACGGGTGGTGGGGCCCTTACTCAGCTCTCCAAGTCCCCTTGGCCTTCTCCACTTATCCTGGGGTGGGGTGGGGTCTCCATAAGCCCTGCACTGCCACTTGCCACAGGGGGGTATTGAGCACCCGAAACGCTGAGAGTCTGAACTGAGATTTCTGTAGGTGTTAAACACACACCGGGCTTTGAAGGCTTCGCAGGAAAAAGAATGTTAACTATTGCGATAATTGTTTATACTGATTACATGTTAAAGTAATATTTTGGAAACATATTGAGTTAAATATATTATTAAAATCGATCTTATCGGTTTCTTCTTTTTTTAACGTGGCCACTGTTGTTGCTGCTGTTACGTGCCGTCGAGTGGGTTCCGACTCATAGAGACCCTACAGGACAGAGTAGAACTGCCCCATAGGGTTTCCAAGGAGCGGCTGATGGATTTGAACTGCTGGCCTTTTGGTTAGCGGCCGAGCTCTTAACCACTATGCCCCTAGGGATCCAATGTGGCCACTAGAAAATTTTAAATTCTACGTGTGGCTGACGTTACATGTCAAACGGACAGTGCCTAGCTCTAACTATAGAAATGCTGAGTTTAGGGGACACTAGAGGCTGGCTGGCCTTCCCGAGTGGGAGGCACCGAACCGCGAAAAAGCTTCCCAATGACCAAACGCCACGGCCTACGAGGAAAGCTCCTTGTTAGCGCTGGTGAGTGTCCTCACGGGACAATGGATGAGACTGACAACCAGTGTTAATCATCTTATGTAATTACACAATTTAGTCCTCATGAAACAACCCTATCGGGAAGGTGCTATTACTCTTCCATTTTATAGGTGGGGAAACAGAAGGTCAAGGACATGGTCACTCGCTTAACAAGTGGCAGAGCCAGGACTCAAAGCCAGGTTTGTTTTCATTCCAAAGCTTGGATTTAAACACCTCAACACACACCTCTTTGCCCCTGACGGTTACCTGTCTTTCGGCCATAGCTGGCCTCTGAGCCCCAGGAAGAGGGACACCAGGGGCCTCCTCACCCAAATGCATAGACGTCAGCAGCTTTGGAGAATGGCAGCTCGTCCTCATCCTTCCCGGGGGTCATCTCACGCACGATCTCAGGGGCCAAGTAGCACAGCCAGTCATGTGACAGCTTCAGCTCGTTCTCACGCCTGGAGGCCAAGAAGCCAGGACAAGGGCACAAGGCCTTTCAGCCACAGCAAAGGCCTGCCTGGCACATGTCTGCCTGGGGCCAGGAGACCACCCAGGCACGGCCCAGCACCCTAACGTAGCACCCTGAGCCTGCACTTGCAAAGGCACCACCAGCTTTTGGGGAAGGTCTCAGTGGGGTGATAACCGGGCTTCTTCTAGCAAGGCAGCCAAAATGGGTGTAGGCACGAAGCCGCCCTTGATGGTGCCTGGTTCTCTGTGCTGGGAGATGGGGTGTGTCTCCACCCCGGAAATCAGATCTGCCTCTGGATGATCTCCAACCTGGCCTGGGCCTGGCTTCCATGCTCCATTCTGGGGTACTCCAGATGCATAGGGAGGAGCCAGAGCCTTTCTCCCCACCCTCGGCCCTTTCAAGATTTGAGGAAAATAAAACTTGAGACTCTTTCTCATGATAGGGACGTAAATCCTGGTCCCTAGCCCAAGCTGGCAAACAGACTGAACAGGAGGGAGGGGAGCCAGCCTCCCTGGGGTTCTCACGCCTTAAAATCAAGTGCTATGGAGGACCTACACTTCACCTGCACGTGATTTTGGACCAGAACCAGATGAGCAGGACCCCAGAGAACCTGGCCTTTCCCATCGGATGGCTCTTCGCAACTGGCAGCAAGAGCACCAGAGACCTCAGCTAGCCTTCGAGCCCCCATCCGTCACCCCCCAGCTCCTCCCTGTCTCTCCCAGATGCCCAAGGCCAACTCACCGTCCTTCTCGGACCACGCCTGAGATCCCGAACAGCCCGAAGTCCGTGATGACCACTTTGCCATTATCATAGAAGACGTTCTTGGATTTGAGATCTTTGTGCACAATGCCCTTGGCATGGAGATACCCCATGCCCTGGAAGACAGCGAGCCTCACATCAGGTGGGGAGGGAACGCTGGACTTGGAAGAGCGAGGACTAAGCTTCTACCCTGGGCCAGGCACTGGGCTGGATGCTTTACCAACATCCTCTCAATTAATCTTCATAATCCTTATGCAGTATATTGTACCCATTTTACAGATGAGGAAACTGAGGCTTAGAGAAGGGTAATTACTTGTCCTAGGCCACACAACAGTTAAGTAGCAGAGCTAAGATCTGACCCCAGGCCGGTCTGTGCTCTTTTCAAGCTGCCATGCTGCCAAACAGCCACCTTAGACTGGATCCCATGAGGGTGAGGTGTGAAGAGGGTGATGGGTGGGGGTGAGTGGGTGTATCAAGAGTGATGATATCATCCATATTAAGTCATAAAGGACCCAAATGAGCTGGGGTCTCTATCAGGCTTTGCAAGCTAGTCTCTGCCCTCAGGCTGGGGGTACAGAGAAGAATTCCCACAGATGGAGTCCCCCACTTCAGGTGGTTCCATTATCTGTGCTGTGTAGAAGGAGCACTGGACTAAGACTGAAACAAACGCTGGGCTTGAATTCCATCTCAGCTCAGAGTCTAACTCACTGGATGGCCTTGGACACCTTGCTCAACTTCTCTGAGCCTCGGTTTCCTTATCTGTTGAAGAAAGGCCTGAGGTGGGAGATTTCTATCCAACACTCTTTTGGGATTGAACAATGCATGGGGCGTGGGTGACCTGACACAGGCATGATCTCACTCAAGGTCAAAGCTGTCCTCTAACACCAAACTCCTTAGATGTCTGTCCAGCTCAGAAACCAACATGAATTCACCTCCCAATCTCCCCACATCACTGGTGCTTCACTCAAGACAGCTAAACCTCCCTGGCTTTAATGGTATATTGAGGTGAGGATGGAAAGGTGAGGTCTGGGGGAAACCAAGCCACTTTTAGGCAGTCCAAAGAATGAGCCCTGAGGCAGAACCAGGCAGAACTCAAGGCCCAGCAAGAATAGGTCCAAGTCTGGAGAGCCCAGCCACAGAAGAATTTAAACAAGGCCAGTCAGCAGACTCTCCCAAGAAAGAGACCGGGAGGCTGTGGCCCCGTGGCCACTTCCCCCAGGCCCGCTGAGAGCCCATTTTCCTGCAGTAGCAGCAGGGAGTTCTAGAAAGAGTAGCTTTAAAAAAAAAAAAAAAAAAACGTTGCCCTTAGTTGATTCCAACTCACAGCGCCCCTACAGGACAGAGTAGAACTGTCCCACAGGGTTATCAAGCCTATGATCTTCGTGGAAGTAGACTGCCACATCTTTCTCCCACAGAGCAGCTGATGGGTTTGAACCGCCAACCTTATGGTTAGCAGCCCAGAGCTTAACTACTGCGCCACCAGGGCTCCTTAAAGAGCTAATCTACTCCTTCCCAAAATGCGGTCCTGCATGCAAGATAACCTTCTTAAAAGACCTGACCATTTTCCAAACAAAACCAAGGCACAAGTCTTCCCTGGAGCTAAACAGGGTCAAAGTCTCCACCTTGGGTTGAAAAGAGGCCAGCTGTGTGACTAAGGGCAAGTTGCTGTACCTCTCTGAGCCTCTGCCCCCTTGCCTATTCAATAGGTATCACACCCTCAAAAAGCCACTTTAAATAGACACATTGCAAAGCACCCAGGACTGGAATACAAATCCTCTTTCCTTCCCATAATTCATCGCGTTTCTATAGCAGCCCAAAAGCTGCAAATTCTCCAACCAAGGGTCAAGCCCCTTTTGTTTTGTTTTGAGCCCCAAAGCACCAGAGATAAGTACAAAAAGGAGGAGGCCCGGAAGTTCCCAGCAGAAGGGAGAAGGAGTGGTTTCTCAGCAGCACAAAAAACCAAATACAGCCAGCAGCGATGCGGCTTCTGGCTCTGCAGCTCCAAAATCTTTTAGTAACTTTCCTCCTCTGCCATGGAATCTTCCAGATGCCTCAGTCATCATTACTTAGCTGTATCGCATCCAGACAAAACTGCCCCAATGTTCTGCTGATAAGGAGAGGAAAAGGTTTGGAGGAGGGGAGACAGAAGGGAGCAGGGCCTAGCAAGTGTGGGGGAAACAAATGAAGTATAGGTAACACCGAACCGCTCCCTCTAACTGCTCTGAGATAAGAGACTACATACGAATGCATGAATGTGAGGTTCGGGTTCTGGCCTTCCAGAAAGTTCAATCTGTTAGCTTAGACACATGGAAGTGACATGTGGAAAGATCACTGTGCTTATTACCTCTTTCTTTCTAAGCAAAACACACAAATGGAAGTAAGGAAGGGGACGAGGGAGAAGGGGTGGGGGAGGAAAGGAGGAAGCAGAGAAGGGAGAAGAGAAAGACAGAAAAGCGGGAAAAAAAACTTGGTGGGAACTGGTGAGAGAAAGCTTTTCAACTAAAACAATTTAAAAAAAAAAAAAAAAAAAGAGGGACCCTTACCCACCAGAATTCTAGTTTTTGTTTGAGTGTGTCTGTTGTTATGTAAAGCAGCAAATAAGCTTTTCTCTCATTTATTTATGTATCTCATTCTCTTTTATTCAATTACTTAAAAAAAAAAAAAAAAGATGAAAGAAATGAAAAAACTGCCTGACTTGAGCCTCAGGGACTGTCCTCATGAAGCTTTGATGCAGAAATTTTCAGGCAAAAAGCGTGGGTCCTTTTATAGCCCCGGTAAGCAAAACATCATTACCCCTAATACACTCTTAATAAGTGACAAACGCTTTCTACGTGTATTAGCACTTTTATCTCTGCACCAATCCAGTGCGGGAAATTATGTTGTTATCCCCATTTTACAGATGAGGAAGCAGAGGCCAGAGAGGCTACACAACCTGCCCAAGGCCACACAGCTGATGACCAGGATTCAAACTCAGGCTGTCTGTCTTTAAAGCCTTCTGTCCTAAGTATCCTGCTGAGTTCCTCCCCAAACAAATTCCAAACAGCTCCCTGCTCCAAGTACAAGAGACAGGGACAAAGAGAACAAGACAGGGTCCCACCCTCGAGAAGCCCTGGCTGGAAGGGGAGGCAGGGCATGGGCAGACAGGGCAGAGGGATGACCAGGAGCTCGGGGACAGCCTGGAAGCCCACCCCTACCCCCACTCCAGCATCCAGAAGCTCCTTTTACCTTGATGATCTCTTGAGCAATCTGCCTCGTCTTGTTGATGTCTAAGGACGTCTTGGGGTCCCTGACAAATGAGTGCAACGTCCGCCCTTTGCAGAAGCTGTCGAGAGTGGTAGGAGTCAGTCATGGGTTTGGGGCCACACAGCCTAACCTGACCCTTACGGGAGCCCAGGAGGAGTCCATGGGAAGCACTGTCACCACATGCCTCTGGGGGCTCTCTCTGTCCCCCACAACTGTGAGCTCCAGAATCATCCTTCTTTTTTTTAAATGTTATTGTGCTTTAGGTGAAAGATTATGGCGCAAATTAGTTTCTCATTCAAAAATTTATACACAAACTGTTTTGTGACATTGGTTGCAACCCCCACAATGTGTCAGCACTCTCTCCCTTTCCATCCCAGGTTCCCCGTGTCCATTCATCCAGTTTTCCTGTCCCTTCCTGCCTTCTTATCGTTGCTTGTGGGCAGGCGTTGCCCATTTGGTCTTGTGTACTTGACTGAATTAAGCAGCCATTCCTCATGTGTGTTACTGTTTGTTTTATAGGCCTGTCTAATCTTTAGCTGAAAGGTGGACTTCAGGAGTGGTTGCAGTTCCGAGTCAGCAGGGTGTCTGGTTGCCATAGTCTCGGGAGTTCCTCCAGTCTCTGTCAGACCAGTTAAGTCTGGTGTAGAATCCTCATTCTTAACTGAGTGTGACATCCAATCCTTCTGAATGGCTGAATGTGCGTAAACACACATGTATACACACCCCATCCCTAGACCCAGGACCTGCCCATCCTGGAACAAGAAACTTAATGCATCAAAGATCCTGGCAATGGGGTCTTAAAAGCTTGCAAGTGGCCATCCAAGGTACAACAATTGGTCTCTATTTGCCTGGAGCAACAGAGGAAGAATTAAGAATAGAAGGAGGAAATGGAATGCATGCCTAATTTCTTCTATGAACAAATGTCTCTTTTGCCATGAGACCAGAAGAACTGGATGGTGCCCAGCTACCATTACTAAACATTTTGATCAAAGATTATATAGAAGAATCAATGTCACTGAATTGTACATGTAGAAACTGTTGAACTGGTGTATGTTTTGCTTGCGTATATTTTCAACAACAACAATATCCAAACAAAAAAAAGATTCTACAGAGGAAGCCTGATAAAAAGGGAGAAAAATGCAGAATTGAATTCCAAATTCTCATGGAATCTAGACTTTTGGGAGCCACCGAGGCTGGACAAATCCCCGCAACTGTTACCCTGAGATAATCTTTAAACCTTAAACCAAAAATATCCCCTGAAGTCTTCTTTAAACCAAACAACAGGTTAGCTTATTTAGTAGAGAACGTTTGCCTTGAACATCGTGCTCTTTTGAAGAACTACCTATAACGGGATCAAATTGACAGCAGCAACTCAAACGGTCTGATAGGAAGCTTACGGGGGCAATGAGTTCATGTTAATGGGGGAGGAACAATTCAGAAGTGAGAAAGGATGGCTGCACAAGTTGAAGAATGCAATCAATGTCACTGTATTGTACCTACAGAAATTGTTGAATTGGTGTATGTTTTGCTGTGTATACTTTCAACAGCAGTAAAAAAAAAAATTACCCACCCCGCCCCCCAAAAAAAACTCCTGGCAATTCAGAGCAGCTCATCCTCAGTGGGTCCAAGGCAGGAACACAGCCACAAAGCCCTGAGGGGGAGGCACTTGGCCTTTTAGGGCTATAACCAGGCACATTGGGACTCTTGAGTGCACTGTGATGATTCTCATTGTTTTTATTTATTTATTTTTATTACTGGATTTCTATTGCAATAAATGTGTGTGCAAAGAGGAGGAAGAAGGTGGGTGGGATGGCTGTCAGAAACATCAGAGCAATTACTGAGAAAGGGGTTCATGTTTTGGGGTCTCCACCTACATCCACTCCTAAAACCAGGGGTGAGGAAGGGCCCAGAGAGAATGTGTGGTTCACTCCCCTGTTCCAGGGAGAAGTTGACCTAAACCATCAAACAAAGGGAATTTTTTTAGGGAAGTCTCCAGGAGATCAGATTCTTAGAGCCTCAGGGACTTTGAGAGGCAGGGTGAGGGCCTGGAAGATTGGTTGATGGTCTCCTTGTCTGTGCTGCATTTCTCCTCAGCTTATTCTAGAACACGCTAAATTTTGTTATTGTTGTTAATGAATATTTTGTGTCCACAAAAACAACAGGGCTTCCAGGAACGGGGAAGGCTGGGCCCGAGTGAGGGTGGGGCCAGGTTACCTAGTGATGATGGCCAAGTGGGGAGGGTTCATGCAGGCCCCCATGAAGAGCACCACGTTCTCGTGCCGCGTTTGCCGATAGTTCATCACCTCCTTCTTGAACAGTTTCAGGTGGTCCTGGTTGTTGCCATCCATCTCCAGCAGGCGGATGGCCACCTCGCCGTGCCAGCGGCCACGGTGCACCCGGCCCCAGCGGCCCTGCTCAATGGGCTCCCCCAGCTCCACCTGCTCGAAGGGGATGTCCCACTCCTGCAAGTACACGCTGGTCTGGCTGGCCTTGCGTGAGATGGGGCCTCGCCAGGTCCGGCGGGCGCTCGGCAGGTCGTCTACCTCGTCCTCGTCATCTTCCACCTCGGACTTGCCAGCCTCCGGCTCCTCGGCCTGAAAGGAAAGGAGAAAAAAATAGGCAGGGGCAGCAGATCTGGGCTCAGTCAACTTCTCTTCCCTCTTCCAGAGCCCCAAGCAGGTAAGAGGGAAAAAAAGGCCTGGGATTCTAGTTGCAGCTCTGCACTGGCTTGCTATGGATAGTTGGCAGGTTGCTTAACCTCTCTGGACCTCAACCTCCTCATCCACAAAATACAGTGGTTGTCCATAAGGTCTTTTGTCCCGCTAACTTTTCCAAGCTCTACCTATGAGCAATTTCTAATCACCAGAGAAGAATGTTTACATCCCTGGCATAGAAGAATTTAGCCACATTCATCCTTTCTGGGTACTCCTTTGTCTAAATACAGAGGTCTTGACTCTCCCTGGGCAGGAGCCAATCTGTCTGTTAACATTCCCTAAGCTATACTTCACTGCCGGGAGCCAGGCTCAGTTAACACTTTTACTCAAGGCTCAAGACAGTGTTTCTCAATCCTCACTAGGAATCAGAATCATCTGAGGAGTCTTAAAAAAATACAGATGCCTGGCCCCATCCCAGACTGGGTGAATTAAAATCTCCCAGGCTGGGGCCCAGAAACCCTGGTGGTGTAGTGGTTAAGAGTTCGGCTGCTAACCAAAAGGTCAGCAGTTTGAATCCACCAGGAGCTCCTTGGAAACCCCTATGGGGCAGTTCCACCCTGTCCTATAGGGTCACTATGAGTCGGAATCGACTCAACAGCAATGGGTACGGGGTATGGGTAGGCTGGGGCCCAGGCCTCTGGGCTGTGACAGGATTAAAAACCATTAGAATTAAGAGCCTGCTTTTGTTAGCTGCAAAAACAGAAAAGCAAAAAGAAGTTGGTCTCATTGCTTCCTTTATCATTCTTCCCTGCCATGCACACCTGCCTACAACTGCTGCAGTGAGCGCCTGGGGCGGTCCTTGCCAAGGCCCAGCACCCACCCACTCCCCAGGCTCTGCATGTTCTGAGATGAGGAGAGAAGAGTAGCAGAGAGGGACTGTCTACTGCTCGTGTGTGTCACCCTTACTCACCTCTGCTTCATGATCCTCCAACACGTCTGCTTTTGGCTGGTCGTTGAGCCTAAGGGTGAAATAGGGTTTGTCAAGGAGACGCTGAGGGTGAGCCACTCTCCTCTCAGCTGGGACTCCCTGTGTGAGGCCTGGGACAAATGGCACCAGGCCTGGATCTTACTTTGACCCACTTGGCCGTGGGAAAGACAGTGTGAATGCAGGAAGCAGGAGGTGAAGGACCAGATCCTGCCACTTTCCTTCTCCAGGCCTCCGCCTTCTCCAGACTAGAGGAGGTGGGGGCTGTGGGGGAGGGGGAGGAGGCAGTAGCCACCAAGCCCCTTTCAAATCTGACACCATGGTACAGGGACTCTAAGCACACACACAGGACTTGAAATCTGACAGGCTTGCTTTTGAGAACAGACTTTGTCATTTCCTAGCTGTGTGACACTGTGCAGCTTCTCAACCTCTCTGAGCTGCTTCCTCATCCGTAAGTTGAGGATGATGTCTACTTCAACACCTGCCTCACCAGCCTGAGGACTCTAAGAGGCACTTGAGTCAAGTGCTCAGCACAGCCTGACACAGAGAAAAGGCTCAATAAATGGGAGCTTTTCTTAGTAGGAGTCTGGCTCTGGCAGCACTTTGCCCACCCTCCCTCCTGAGTCATAAGAGGCTCCAGTTCCACATGCAGCCCCACCCTGGGCTGACAGGGGGCAAATATTTTCTGGCTGAGGTCACTGTCCCGAAGGTGAGTGAGCGTAAGTAGCTCTCCATCTGGCTGGCCAGATGCACGCGGGAGATTTAAAGGTGGGAGGTCAGGGGTGGGTCCTGTCTTAATGAGTCCCACGGCAGAGAAGGGAACATGGTGAGGGGCACCTACTGGGGACTGTCTGCTGCATCAGCGGGCGGCGCTGCCGGCGGGAAGGCCGAAATGTCTGGGGAAACAAAACACAAATGCAAAGCATGAGACCACTTTCCCACTCCCCTCGAAGGACAGGGTGCTTCAAGTCCAGCACCCACAGGGACCTGGGGACAGGGTGGCACGCACGTCTCCAGGCCACCTCTGCTAGGACCACCTTGTGCCTTTCTCGAAAACATGGCATGGCCTTGGCCTTTCAAGGAGCTGGCTTTGCCCGTGCAGCTGTCCCAGGAAGGGACCCCAGCTAGGCAAGGCGGTTGAGACGCCCCCTCAGTTAGCTCCCTTCCCCTGTGGCCAAACTGCCCTGTACCAGCGAGTGGTAAAAACAAACTGAGTTTTTATTCACTAGACATGTGGGCCAGGCCCTCCTTCTCTGCGAAGGGTCGCCCTGTCTGGAGGCAGGGGCTGGTTGCAACAGCTCTTGAAAGTAGCGAGCCTCCTTCACCAGAGGGCTTAGGCCAGCCGAGGCTGAAGGCAGGGCCCACGGGTGGCTCGTTAGCGCCACCTGGTGTCCGGCACAGCTGCTGGGAATTTCCGGTCAGTGGCCCAAGCCCTCTCAGCTTCGCGGTTGGGCCTTTGTAGCAGCTCTCACTGGGGAGGAAGAAACAAAACAGTCTACACATCAGGGAGCCCAAGACTGGGCAGCAGGCGCTGCCCCCTGGTTTTAGCGCCGATGTCCCATGTTCCAGGAATACCAGAATGGATGGTCATCCCAGTGCAAAACCAAAGTGCTGTAGGCGAAACCCTCCATCATGGCTGCTTTTGCTGCCTGGTTCTCTGTTCACTCCCTTCCCCTCCAGTCCTGCTCAGGGCGGCTGGCAGCCCCAGGCTGGCCTGGGCCCCTCACTCCCTCCTCTTCCTTTAGCAAAAAGAGAGGGACTGAAGGTATCTGTGGCTCAAGCTCTGAGGCCTCTCCTCTGCATTCTAGGACCAAGACCCTCCTCCCCTAGCCACCAAACCTCCCTCAACCCACCCTTTGGGGCGTTCTCCAAGGCTGCCTCTGAAGGTCATCTGAACCAGAGGTTCCAAACATCTCTGGGACCTCGTAGACTGAGAACCTGATGGAGCTGTGGACTTTCTTATCAGGGAAATGCACACATGTGCCCAGCATCCTCTGCACAATTTCTAGGGGATCCCAGACCCTAGATGCCTCTGTTAAGACCCCCGCACACCCCAACACCAGTACATCCTGCCCGCAGACTACCAGGGCCAGTCTGGCATTTCTACCCACTTAATGCTGCTCAAATAAGATAAACATATGCGTGCAGGGGGCAGGGTAAATAGGAGGCAGCGGGGTTGGGAGGCTGGGGGTTTAGGGAGAAACAGAATTCCAAGTGGGAAGGCAAAACCTCTCTGACGCCTTATGTTTCCTTAAAAGTTGAGAGAGTATTTTGCATTATGCTCCAAAATTTGTCTATGCTGTTTTAATAGAAATGCACCCCCACCCCTCGACATACATTCTGGAAGAAGAGACATGCTTTCCTCGTGCTTTTGGGTACTCCCTGCACACCATCCTGGAGACAGAAACCAGGGAGGCTCTTAGAGGGGGAATTTCAGCAAAAACAGGTGTGAAACCAGAGAGGCAGCTCAGCTATTCGCAGGAGGCTCTGATGGGCAGGTCCCAGGCCCCTGACCTCTGCCAGCCTGCATCCGCCTGGTCATAGCAGTATGCGTGGTCCTGCAAAGACTTATAAATGCTCCATTTGATCAATGACGGAGCTGGGAGGTGGGAGAGAAGCTTGGAATAACCAAAACACTGTGACTCTGAGGAAGGCCTGTTTAATCTAGGAAAAACACTAGCTACAGACTTCACTGTCTGAAACACAGAACCGTCATCTGGCTAAAGGAAGGACTTGGAAGTTGCAGGTTACTTAACTTAATGCTCACCACCTTCAGCTAGGGAAACAAGCAGTGATCTCGTAAACTCCTTAGGGGAAGGAATGTGGTCAAATGCGATGGCTGGCACATAGTAGGTGTGCAAAAAGACTTTTGTGGAAGGGAGTCAATGAAATTATTATTTCCTTGAAACTTTCTGCAATAAGGCAGCACTTCCAATGATGGCCACCAGATGGCAGTTCGTGGCAAGGCTCAGAAAGGTGAAGCCTGCTGAACAAGTGAGGCCTGCAGACCGTTCCAGATTGGGTAGCAGCTTGTCAGTCTTTGTGTAGGGGAGGATACGGTGGCAGACGCTCATTATGGCATCAGCAAAAAGTCCTCTCCCCCATTGTGTATACCTGGTTCTAATCCTGCTTCTGCCATCTCCTGGCCGTGTGACCTTGGGCAAGTTTCTGCAGTCTCTGTGTGACAGACTAGACAGGACAGATCCTAAGGTCCCTCCCAGCAAGGCCTGCCCCTTTTCCCAGAGGGCAGTCAGCTCTCAAAATAGGTGGGTTTCAGACTCAAGCACCTGTCAGGTAGGTGTCCAGAAGGAGGGTGCCCACAAAGGCTGGACAGAAGGGGTCCCAGGACGGGGCAGTTAGTGGAACCATGCAGAGGACTCACCTGGGAAGATAAACTGCTGTCTATGATGAATGAAGTAGGCAGCTTTAAACAGAAGAGGAGGTCAGTCACACAGGCAGAACGGCAAATGCAGTGAGGGGGAGGCAGGCAGGCATGTGCTCCCCGCTCGGGAGAACGGGGCTGGTTAGGGGCTGGGGAAGCCCCACCCCACCTGCCCTGCCCCAGGTGGGCCTCGTGAGAACGAGGGCATCCACGCAGGGAGAGGGGAAAGAGCTGGGAGAAAAACGGCACTGGGAGGAGCCCCCAGGAGCCAAGGGGCTTGCCTTGGGGGATGAGGGATGGGGGCTGCCTGGCTGCAGAGCCCTGGCCCATCCCAGCCACCTCCCAGGCCCACTTCTCTATGAAGCCAGGAGGGCAAAATACAATGGTGGGGGGAGTGACTGTGAAAAAGTTGAACAGCGCTGTGTGCCAGCCAGCCCCAACTGCACCACCCAGGGGAGCTGTGGCTTCAGCAGCTTGACCTCCCCATTCACAAAAAAAGAAAAGGATCCTCTCCCTTAGGGTGTTGAAGAAGGTGTGCTGGGGTTTTGGAATCTGATCCAGTTCCAACACTTGCTAGGCTTTGGGACCTGGGGAAGTTAGCCAACCTCTGCCAGCCTCGTTGTAAAGTGGGGACATAAATGGGTTTCTCCTTGAAGATAAACTGAAATGCTCCCATACATTGCATGGGACAATACAGAACAGGCTGAGTTCTTTCCCAAGAATCAGGCCAGCCTACCCGGCCCCTGGGGGAGTTGGAGGTTCGGCCATGACCCGCCCTTTCTGGTGGAGAGAGTGAGGCTCTGTGTGGGGGACAATGAGGTCATAGCCTGGGGACATGAGGGAAAGCTGAGAGGGTCTGGCTGACATGGCAATAAGGACTTTTTTGGTGGCTGTTGTTTTTTAAAAAGGCCCTTCCTTTTAGAAAACCCAAACTAGGAGGTTTAGCAAAAGGCATGGTTCCAAAGCATAATAATGACAGAGCAGAACTACAGAGGAGGTTAATCAAATGGGCCATCAGTGGCAGGGAGGGGAGGGAGGGTGTTAATGTCCAGAGACAGCCAGCCATGGGTGGTTAAGGCAAAGGGACAGGCAAAGAGAAAACATTCCTACAGTATCTTGACCCCCCCAAAGAAGTCCCTGGAATCCTGGTAAGGTGGGCCCAGAAACGCCACCAGCCTGCAGGTGGGGGCCCCTGCACAGGAAGAGCCACTGTCTTCCTGGGACTGGAGCTTCAGGGACAGGTGAGGGGTGGCAGCCTGGCCTGGACCCCCTGGCTGGAGATCCTGGCCCTCTCCCTACAGACCCCAGGGCAACGAGGGCTGTGGGTAGAGACTGGCTTCAGGTCCTGCCCACGGGCACTCCTGTGTGGGCCTGAGTGCCCTAATCTACACAACAGGATAATGATCCCCACGTCACATGGTGTCCTTGTTTAGAGAAGAGGGAACAAAAACTCCCTTTAGTAGCTTGCCCAGATCACAAAGCGGGTAAGCGACGGGGCCTCAGATTCCCTCTCCTGGGTATGCCCCCCAGGTCCACAAGCTGCCAGCCATGCCTCCTGGGGACTCAGCCGCCAGCCCCGAGTGAGGGGCCATGCCTAGGAGAAGCCAGGGGGCATGTGGGGATTACGTCAAGGCTCCAGGCTTTCTGTCAGGTGGATTTGGGTTTGATCCTGGCTCTGCTGCTTACCGGCTGTATAGCTCTGGGCAAGCCACTTCCTCTCTCTGAACCTCAGTGTCCTCATCTGTAAAGTGGGCATAACAACAGCATTTTCCTCAGAGCTGCTATTTTAAACAGTACTTAAGTGCTCGGCACAAGACCTGGCTCACACCAAGTGTTTCGTACACATCAGCTCTTAGTGGTGGCAGTGTTTGATCTTGAGCCTGCTGGGGTCTGCTGAGAGGGGCATCTGATCGCATCCCTGAGGGCCTGGAAAATCCCAGAGGTGTGGTACCTGGGAAGTTGAACCTGCTGTCCCGCTGACCAGGTGAGGGGTTGGGGGGTGTGGTGGCACTGGATGGGTTGGAAGACATCGGGAAAGGCGCCGGCGAGGAGGGTGTGGAGGACGTGGTCGAGGACGGGTTGCTGCTGGAGTCCAGGTGGTTCATGGCCGGAGAGTGCTCCTGCAGGACCAAAGAAGCCCAGAAGTGGGCAGGGGCCATCACTGCCCTGCCCAGCTGCCCCCAACGCTCCTACACCCACTGCCAACACCCTCCCAGCCTCTGTTTCCCCATCTGAATACAAAGAGGTCAGGCCAGGGATCCTTAGGGTCCTGCCTTCCAGCTTCAACATCTTATGGGTCTAATATTTGAGGGAATCTTCCACTTGGCTGCTAACTCAAAGGTCGGAAGTTTGAATTCACCCAGAGGTGCCTTGAAAGAAAGTCCTGGCAATCTACTTCCAAAACATCAGCCATTTAAAACCCTACGGAGCACAGTTCTACTCTGACACGCACGGGGTTGCCATGAGTCAGAGTTGACAAGCCAGCAACTTTTTTTTCACTATTTGAGGGAGGGATGACACACAGAAACCTCGACACTCATCCCCTAGAGGACTCCTGCTCATCTTTCCTAGCTCAGTTCAAACACCCTTTCCTCCCAGAAGCTGGGACCAGGCGCGTCCTCCTTATCCTCCTGTACCTCCTAGTACTTATAGGTCAAAGCTTGCACTTTAAGTACAGTTTGTAAAGTGCAGACATCCTCGTCCTTGGGTGACTTTCTGATTCATGCCTCTTCCACTGCACTCTGTCGTGTGACAGGAACCACAGATGCTCATCACTGCACCCCAATGCCTGGCTCTGAGCTGGGCACATGGAGGGATGTTAGTGAATTAAACTCAACCGCTGACACGTGTTCATTTAGCACCTGCCATATGCCAGGCACCCTGCTGGACACGGAGACACGAGCCGAGCCAATGGCCCTTGCCTTTGTTGACTTTGTTGTCCCACGGACACTGGAGACACTAAGAGCTCACTTCCAACTGCAGAACCCCGACAGAGCTAACAGTGAGGGCTGCTGCCGGCATCATCTTGGACGAGTTAGATCTTACCATCTTTCCACTGTGCCTCCCCATTCCTGGTGGGAAGATACTAACAGAGGGAGAATGTGACAATGGCAGCGAGAGAGGCAGGAGAGAAGACAGAGGGGTCCACAGAGATGGTTGTCAGGTCTGCCGTGGCTGCCTGCCTTGTTTGACAACAAGAAGTCAGCTCTGGACTCTCCCAAAGCAGCCCGCATGGCTGCGCCTCCAGGGGCTACCTGGTGTTACTTGGCCACAGTGCCGGCCTACCTGCCCTCTCCTCTCCACCCACACTTCCAGCAAGGCCGGCCGGGGAGCAGCAGGTCATGTGCGTGCCCACTGAAGAGGCACACGCTCAGCCACACCCTTGGTCTGAGGCTGGCACACCACACCTTTACACTTGCACACCCACACTCGCACCAGCCTCTGGAGAAGCCAGCCCCCCGCTATGTGGGCACCAGGATGGAGGTCGCTGTCAGAAGCCACCAGCCCCAGAGCCTCGCGGACAGTGCACACACCAAGCTGGTATGTAGGGCCCCGGCAGGTCTGCAGACCCTCCTGGAGCACATGGGCCTTCAAGAATCTGTTTAGCTGCAGGAGACACCTATCCGCAGGAGCAGAGAAGCCTGAGCCCAGGCTATGTAAGAAATGCACATTTATGTAGGACTTCTGGGTACACCCCTGTAACGGCTGCTCAGTGGAGGCCATTTAATTGAACAATTTAAGGCATATCTGCCACACCGTGATTGAGAGTCCAGGCTCTGAGGCCAGTCACCCTGGGCCTGCCTATCGCTCGTGGGGGATCCTGTGCTCAGTTTCCTCGTCTGTAAAATGGTGCTACTATCAGGATGTGCCTAATATCAGGACCTTGTGAGGGTCAAATGGAATAATACAAGCAAAAGTTCCTGGCACATACTAAGCACTCGGGAAACGTCAGCTCAGAGGGGGAGACGGGGTGGGGGAAAGAGGGCCACACAACCACAACATGGACACAAACGCGACGTCCACTATGCTAGAGATATGATCCCTGAAGCCCACCACCTGGCTGCGAGCCCCAGACTGTGATGGCATCCTTCCTATGGACGGGAATGCAAGTGGGATTTCTCCCCAGCGGGGACACAGGCTGTGGGGCCGTGGCCCAGCGTTACCTTCTTTGTGAGTGCTTTGGGGAGGGTTCCAAAATGGGGTTCGGCTGCTCTGTCCACTGGGTTGTTGATGTCTGAAGGGACAGATTCTGTCCTCCGGAGTCTAGGTACTGTTTAAAAAGGGGGAAAAGCCATCAGCAGGGGAGAGAGCAGGCTAAGGAAAGGTTTACCCCAGATTCAGAAGGCAGAGGAGAGGAATGGTAGAAAACTCACGTGGTAGGAAGGATATTCGACAGGCGGGGGCTTCTTTTGTACACTTGTTGTGACACTTCAACCTGGCAAAGGAGGCAAGGATAGTGTCCGCAGAGCCAGGCAGGGGTTCCCAGGCACACAGGGGCCGGGGCACTGCTGAGGCAGCTCCGCGTAACTTTCACCCACAGCTGCCTCATATCCACAGTTTCTCAACCTACATTAGCTCGAAAGTGTACAACAGTCCTGACGTTACCAATAACAGCAGCTATTCGTTGAGCATTTACCATATTCCCACTTGTTTACCCATCAACGTCCATCCTCATAAGCAAACAGGCATCGATATACTTATTTTAACCTGTCCCAGGTCACATCTACCTCTCTTTTCTGAAGAAAAGGAGGCTGTCCATCACATTCAGAAAGCTTAAGACAAATCTGAACTTATAAAAAGGATGAATTAGAAGGTGACTGCATTACCAAAGGATCCAGGGGGTTCCTTTGAGTAGGCAGCCCCTACCACTAAACTCAAGCAGGGGGCCATGTGGTCAGAGGGCTCAGTACTGAACCAGGAATTGAAAGATCTGGGTTCCTGTTTGGGTTCTGACTGCTGCTGCTGAGTTTCAGTGTTCACATCCATAAAATGGGCTGACAGTCAGTGCCCATCAATCTCATATCATGTGGTATGACCAAGGTATCATCATGGGCTCTCCATATGAAAGGTATTACTTGAAAGAGAGCTGGAGTTCCCCAGTTTAAAGCCAAATGACCAGGCGCTACAGCAGTCCTAGACCAGAGAGAAAGTCCCAGCATCTCCTTGGTGTTCAAGGGAGTAATCAGGTAAACAAAATTGACCCAGCTGACGTGCACATTTTAAGAAGACAAGACCCACCACCTAAGGTCTGATCAGAGCCCAAATGCTTTCACACACACTAGCTCAGATACTCAGAGAGATCCTGACAGGCAAAGAAGTCTGGAATCATCTTCCCAGGTGTATAAATGACAAAAATGAAGCCCAGAAAGGTAAGCACCTTGCCCCAGGTCACACAGCAATACAGGGCAAAAAGGGCTGGAAGCGGTGAATCCAAGTTTGCCCTGCAAACGTTTTTCCAGTCTCCGCTCACTCCATACTCTTCCCTCACCTTGCCCTTTTTTCCTACTAGGAACCACAATAGTATGAGAAAAGCAAACTGAATTTCTACAGAATCTATATTTTCCCCTTCTTTAAATACCTTGAGCCATCTTTCTGTTTTCACCATTGCCTGTCCCCGTTTCCCACCCTTTATGGCCTAAAATGCAAAGCTAAACTTCAGAACTTCTTCAAGTTCCCAGAACCGTCTTCACATTCCTCCCTGCCTTTACACAAGATATTCCCTTGGACTGGAATTTTCCTTCCCCCTTGGTCCACCTAGAAAACTTCTAATCATCCTTCAAAGCCCACCTCAAATATCCCCTTCTTGTGGAAGCACATCAGTTGATGCTTCCTTAATCTCCCTAGAGAGTGCTGAATAGGATTATGAATAATGGGTTTAAAGGAACTCCTTTGAACTCTGACTTGACCTACAGCTAAGAATACGGTAACAGGACTGACCCGAAAGGTTCATGGATCTTCCCCACCCCGGTACTCCCCTTTCCACCCTCCGCCCATTACCTGCAGTGCTTGCACTTCACTCCAAACATCATGCTCTTCTGGCACACGTGACAGACCTGGGACAGCCAGGACTTGGTGGAGAACCTGCAGAGAGTGGACACACACACATGCTCACACTGGCTGGGATACAAGGGCCTGGCTGCAGAAGAATCCCCACACAGCCCCAGGAAAACTGGAAGACTTGGTCCCACCCCAGAGCTCCAGGGGCCTTCTTCCAGAGAGGGCTGGGACATCCAGGGGCTACTGCCTCCCCCACAGGGATTCAGGTTTCCCAGCCACAAAGTCATCATTGTCAAAACACCAAAGTTGGTGTGGTCACTGATACAAGCCCTCTGGCAGGCAATATGGCCATCAAAATTTCAGGTGTGCAGACCCGCTGAGCCAGCAATTCAGTCCTAGGAATTTATCCACATGTGTCAGACAGCAATGTATAAGGTTACTCACTGCAGTGTGTTTGTAACAGTAAAGGACTAGAAATAACCTAAGTGTCCAGCAACAGGTGACTGGCTAAATAAAGTATGGTACATCCATACAATGGAACACTACATGGCCAGAAAGTTAAAAAAGAAAGCTGGTTTTGTGCACATACGGAATGATCTCCAAATTACACTGTCAAGTGAAATAAGTAAGGTACAATACTACATGACTCCATTTATATGAAGTTCAAGTACGTTCAAGTTCATTCAAGGAAAAACTGACCTAGGGTGACAGAATTTGATAGTGACCTCTGGGTGGTGACACTATCGACTGAGAAGGGTCAAAGATAACTTTCTGAGGTGCTGGCATGTTCTATATCTTCATTTGGGTGGTGTACACGAGTGTATCCAAAAAAACCAAACCCACTGTCATTGAGTCGATTCTGACTCACAGCAACCCTATAGGACGGAGAAGAACTGCCCCATAGGGTTTCCAAGGCTGTAACCTTTACGGAGGCAGACGGCCACATCCTCGTCCCTCAGAGCTGCGGGTGGGTTCGAACCACCGACTTCCGGGTGGCAGCTGAGCGCTTAACTACTGGGCCACCAGGCTCCTACATAAGTGCATACATATGTAAAAATTGACCATTTGTGCATTTTACTCTATGTAAATTTTGCCACAATTTAAAAAAGGAAAGAAAAAAAAAGCACAGTATATAACAGTGTGTGTAATATATGTAGTTTTAAAAAAAGGAGGGGAAAGAACATACCTATGTATCTGCTTGTATAGAACATCTCTGGGAAGGACAATAAGTCACTGCTAACACCTGCCTACAGGGGGGACCGGGGCACCGACTGGGGACAGAAGTGGACAGGAGACTTTCCTCTGAGTACACCCTTTTCCATCGCTCTTGAATTTTGAACTCCTAAGTGAATTTTCCATCCAAAGGAAATCAAAATGTAAAAAACAAACGATAGATCGGAAAGATGGGGGCTGAACAGGGAGTGTCTTCTAGAAAAAAAGCTCATATGGTAGGCAGGCCTAAGGGCAGAAGTGCACTTTTTTGGAGGTATGAACTTCTAAGAGCATAGTATATCATACTAACAACAGAATGACTCAACAGTATTTGGGGAGCACTTTGCAGTACATCTATTAAACATTAGCTTGATTCTTAGAACTCCCCCCCTCCCCCTCCACACACACACAATGAGGCAGGTCCAAGATTCAGTTACAGGTGAGGAAACCAGCTCAGAGAGGTGAGGTGACTTTCCCAAGGTCACACAGTTGGGATGCTGTGCAGTGGGGGCTAGAACCCAGAGCTGCATGGTTCTCTAAGATAGGCCACTGGAGCAGCAGAGGCCGAAGGAGGCTTGAGTCCAAGAAACGAGCACGGGCAGTGGGGTCGGGCAGAGCTGGGTTTGAACCTTGCCTCCGAATAGCTGCCTGAGAGCTCTGCAAATGGAACAACACTCTATCTACCTCACAGGGGTCTGATGAGGATCAAATATGTGCTGTGTAAATGTGCAGTGCCTGGGACACAGAGGGATTCATATCATTCATAAACATAAACGTTACTGTCTCCAGGACCCAACAAAGACAGGAGCTGCTGGTGGCTAGGACAAAGGGTGCCTGCCTTCCGGAAGTGCAGTGAGCAAGCTGCAATAAAAGGAGTCCAGATCCTGCCTCCCTGGGACCCAGGTGTGCAAACTCACACAGGCGCTCTCTCCCCCTCTCTCTGTCTTGGCTTTAATTTCCTCTCACGCTGACACTGGTGGGGAGGGGACAACTCAGTGGTAACGGAGATAATCTCCACTAAAAAATCCTGAATACAGGTCTAAATAGGAGTCAGGTCTGTGCCTGAGAAGGGCCAGGTGCTAGTGAGGTTGCTGGAAAGCGGGGAGACTGGGGTGAGAAAAGCCTTCCTGGCCCAGGGAAGGGTCGCGGGACAGTGTTTTCCCCGTGATTAGACCAAATGCCTTTAGACCTTTTGTTAAGAAGGGGCCTGGGTCATAAGTTTCCAACCCAAGAGGGTGTGGCCACGACCTCATCTACCCAAGCCCAGAATCCAGGGTGAAGCAGCCCGGCAACACCAGAGAGGAGGGCAGGCAGCCCCTGGAACTGGCTGCCACAAGGTGGAAGGACAGACAAAGACCAAGAAACACTCAGGAGCAAGCTGGCCAAGCCTCACATTCTCTGTGAAATCAGGTATGAAAAACAAAACCGAAATGGAGCCCCCTGCTGTCCGGAATCCCTCGGATGACGTTTGCCCCGATAATGTCTGCCTCTCTCAGGGCCAGAAAAAAAAAACCAAACCCATTGCTGTTGAGTCCATTCCAAGTCACAGCAACCCCACAGGACAGAACAGAACTGCCCCATAGGGTTTCCAAGGAGAGGCTGGTGGATTCCAACTGCTGACCTTTCAGTTAGCAGCTAAGCTCTTAACTACTGCCTCACCAGAGCGACCCCTACTGCTAGACATGTGAAGCTCAGATGCACGTCACCACATTTCATCCTCATGACAGGCCTGGGGAGAAGGTTTGAATCCTGCCTCTGACTAAGCCGCCTTCTTCTGCAAATGGGCCAATACTCTCAACCTTACTAATCCCATTTGAGAGGGGGAAACTGAGGCTTGGAGAGGTTACCCGACTGCCTCAGTTGTGCAGCTCGTGGGGAAGAGCCAGGTTTCCCACCGGAAGACCATGCTCTACTACGTGGTCCAGAGAGGCACTCTGGCCTTCACTCCAAGGACCCTCCCAGCCGAGTTGTCTCTTGGTGCCCTGGGCCAATGAGGCTCCATACAGAGGTCCCTGGGCTCTAGCCAGCTTGGGCTCAAGCACTCCTCACTGGCAGCATGACCTTGGGTGAGTCACTCAACCTCTCCAAGCCTAGGCTTCCTCCTCTGGGGAGGGAATTCCAGGTAGGCCTCCTCACACAGCTGGAGTTCAGCTCACAGCCCCTGGTGGAAATGAAAGCTGCAAAGGGAGGGGGTGAGGGTGGGGGGAATGTTTCACCTCAGCAGAGTGGGGAGGAGGCCTGAGGAGGGGGAAACAGGCCCTGAGGGGCAGGGAGTACCCAGCACGTCCACATGGCTGCTGTAACAATGCAGGGGTTCGAAGCAGATACAGGGCTGTGTCCAGAGAGAAGACGGACAGATAGACCAGAACGAGGAAGAGCAACCAGGACCGATTCCCCACCCATGATGAACAGCGACCCCTCAGAGGGCTCCAACACTGTGTGAGCCCCAGCCCCACTCCCACACCCCTCCCAGCCCAGGCCTCAGCCAGACCTACCTGTGTGTCACGGACAGCCCGATGTCCCTTCGTACCATCTGTGGAGACCCGTGCGGGAGATCTGCAGGAAAGAGGCCGTGTGGGGCAGGTGAGGGTGCCCTGCCCTAGACAGCTAGTGCCCATGGCCTTCTACGTCAAGGCTGGATGTGGCGCGGTTATTTATTGCACAGTAGAGCAATGTTTGCCTGAACCTACGTCTGTCAAAACAGGGAAAGGCCAAGCCATACCCAGGGGCGGCGTAACTGCTCTCAGGCCCGGCAGCTTCTCTAGTGAAGGTTACTGCCTCGCCTCAGCAGACGGCTAAGGCTGCCATCCCTGCGCCGATGCCGGCTTCAGTGGGAGGCAGGCTTGAGAGCCAGAAGTCAGAGCAACGTTAGGGTAGGAGTCTCCTCATGCCCCAATCTCACAGACTGTCTTGTGGATACACCCACAGGTCACCTCTTCGTGAAGGTTTAATTCCAGTCACTTCTTGTTAAGTGAGTGGAAACTGTGTGACCTTTAGTAGGGAATGCTAGGTTAGCCACATAGTTCATCCAGGACCTTTCCAGCCGGAGGCACCTGGAGAGTATTCCTCTGGGAATCACCACTGCCAGATCTTGGCAGGTAGAATGAGGACAAGATGAAGCTTTCATACTCACTCCCTCATGGGCCCAGCCCCACCAGGCACTACAGTCTCAACCTGGGAAAGGCCTTGACCACCCTCTCTGCTAGAGAAGGGCCACGAGGCACCCCTCTGCTTGCCTTCCTGGAGGGCGCCGTGAGCTCTCCCCCTCCAAATCCTGGGCTTCCCCATAAGAACAGGCGCCCCCAATGCTTACAGCACTATAGGCTCGGGAGGAACAAGAAGCAATCTCTCCATCCACTGGCAGCCACATGTTCGACCCCTCTTCCCTGACAGACAGGTGGACACACACACACACACACGTCCTCAGCACTGCCTGTCTCTGCCCAGAGCAGTGCTTGAGAGAGCCCGTGAATGGGTTTTTGAACCCTCTGGACTGGTCAGCAGAATGTTGTGAGCTTTCTAGGGACTTTCATTCCATTATCAAAAGGACATGTGACCCAGAAAGGTCAGGAAAAAGTGCTGGAGTGACCTGTGGCTGCCCTGTGTCCTCTGAATCAGCAGGCCCCTGAGGGCAGCACACAGCTGGTGCCCATTAAGTACTGGCTCACTTAAGGCCAAGCACCACACGGCCAACCACAGGGAGAAGAGGGTGTTGCAGATGCTGACTCCTCTCAAACCAGGGGGAGTCCTGGTCAGGACAAAAATGGCCCTTGTGCTCTCCTGACCTGGATACCCACAATTATATCAGCTGCAGCTCTCTCTGACACATCTGCCTGGGGCTGACTCGTCCCAACTTAGTCCTGAGGTCCACCCCCTCCCAGTCAGCAGCCACAGCAATCAAAACATGGGCTCTCAGAAGGGAGAGTGTTGACATGCTGTGGGGTTGTTAACCAATGTCATAAAATAATATGTGTACTAACTATTTAATGAAAAGCTAGTTTGTTCTATAAACCTTCATCTAAAGTACAATAAAAAAAATAAAAATATCTACCCCCCCGCTCCAAAAAAAGGGCTCTCAGACCTGGAGGTCTAAAAGTGGTTAGGCTGCCAGTGTGCGAGAAACAAGACTATGGGAAAATGAGACTTCAACCATCTATCTCTGAAAGCATGCGATGATTGATTAGTAATGTCTGTTACAGGCATGGGATGTAAGCAATGTGCCAGGCATTGACTGTCCCTGACCTAGATGGAAATAATGGCCCTACAAGTTTCATCCTCCCTTCCCAGCAAGACTGGGAAGTAGCCTCACTGCTATGGTCCCTGCATTACTACGGCAACTGGGAAGATGACAGAGCCAAGGCTCTCCTAGGGCTGGAAATGCTAAATTATCCTCCAAGGCCCCAGAAGTTTCTGCCCGTGCCCTGGAGAGAGGAACTGCAGCTCTCCCCTTCCTCCCCTCTATGCCTCCCTGAGTGTTCCTGCAGCCAGCTCCACTTCAGCAGTCACTGTCTACAGCATTCCATCCTCATCCTCAAGGCCCAGCTAATAGCGAAGTTTTCTCCTTAGCCAGCTCTGAATAGAACAAATAAATTGCTGTTTGCTCAGGCAAAAACTCGTCGTCTCTGCATTTCCGCTCAGAGAATTAAAAGCAGACTCAAGAGGCATGGCTGTTTCCCACAGCCCTAACTCACTGAAAAGAGCCCCACAGACAGCCGTGTCCAAGAACCTACTCCTAAGGGGGCAGGGGTAGAGAAGGGAGCCAAGGGTTGCCTGGGCCGCCTCCTCTGCTTCCAAGGGGGTATTTGCACCCTCCGATTCCTGCACTGGGTTCCCTTAGGGCCTCATTTAGAGCCAGTTGCATTCTGCCTCCGGGAATGCCCCTCTCCTGAAGACAGGGATTCCGAGACATCAGCTGGGGTTCTGAGGATGGAGACAGTCCACCTAAACCCGACAGATAGGCGGCTCCCTCGTGGGAACATCACTTTACCCTGGTACCAAGCAGGCAAATGCTGTCACAGAGGTCACTTGTGGAGTGGGCAGAGTGCACACAGGGCTTGTCAGGGGGCTGGAGTGGACTGCGACACTCAAGGTCTGTACCTCCCAAAGAGCACCGCTGGCTGGGCTGAGGTCAGCCTCGCTCTAAGGCCACCTGTCTTAAAGCTATTTCCTGTGGCGTTTGCCAGCATCTCTGCTTCTGAGCTCCCAAAAGGCCGAGTAGACTAAAAGTGTCAAAGAAATCCACTCCCGATGGGGACAGCAACACAAACACGACTCCCAGGTAGCAGAGGGGATGAAAATGAATCATTCTTACCGAACCTGGAGGAGACAAAAAGGGGAGAAAGGATTACACGTCACTGTGCTGGCTCAGCGTGCCCTCTAGAACAGTACCCCAGGGAGGGAGCAGACAGGGCGCTGGGATGGGAGACTCTGCGGCCTGGCTTGGGGCCAGGCTTGCTGAGTGAAGGTGGAAAGGTCCTGCAGCCTCTGTGGGAACCAGTCTCCTCAATGGCCCACCCTGCGCCCTCCAGTGGGCACAAGAGCCACACTCTGTGCTCTGCACTTTCCTAGGTTAGCTCATCCAGGCCTCACCAACCACCCAGCATGGTGATTACAGTTCTGCCCATTTCACAGCTGAGGAAACTGAGGCTCACAGAAGTCAAGTGAGTCTTCCAAGGTCACAAAGGCAGTGAGTAGGGAAGCCCTGGCTATAGCCCTGGGAAGGACAGATGCTCAGGATCCAGGCAGGAAAAGGGGTCAGTCTGCAGGAAAGGATGCGGCTGGGGTAGGAGGGGCAGGGAAAAACAGCTGTGGAGAGCAGAAAGGTGGCCCCCAAGGAGTCAGGCCGGGACATGCCCTGAGCAAGTCTTCCCTGAGGGTGCTGCTGCCCCCAGGGACATGGAGGGCTGGGGAGGAACAGGACACCTCAGTCTGCCCTCAGGGCTTGTGGAGGGCCGTGAGGTGGCCTGTGGGGCAATGTCAGCACCAGTTCTGGTAGCTTTGCGGGGAAGTGGGCTCTGAACCTCAGGGTCTAAGGCCCAGCTCACCAGCTGTGGGCTCTGAGGCAAATCTGTTCTCCGTCCAGAGCATGGTAAGGAGACCAGAGCCTTCCTAACATCCTTTCGGGAGAAAATGAGAAACACGCACTTGGGTTCTGTCCATTGGGATGCCCTCACTGACAGGCACGTGGCACACATGTTAGTTATCACTGTGTTCTCTGTAAGAAGGGGAGGCCGGCCTGCCGGGAGTCCAGGCCATAAAGGAGGGCCGGCAGCCCCTCTGGTGGCTTTTAGGCCCCAATAGGAGAGCCTGACCAGGCATGGCAGAGTCAGGGCACCCAGTGTGGCTTTCTTCTCCTTGGGTGACACACTCAAAACCTTCAGGGCGGTCCAGGGCCCTACTCATGAAGGACTTAAAATGGCCTGCACCAGCAGAGGGGACAAGCCCATCCAACAAAAATGACTCCAAGGCCCAAGACAGACCAAGGCCCAAGGAACCCCCAGGAAAGGGGTACCCATATCAGGAGAAAAGCCAGGTGCCCTAGCCTTCAGGGTACAAGAAAGTAAGAGGCACCCAAAATTACCCTTTCTTTCCCTCTGCACTGCATGCAAGAGTTTATCTACATGGGTGACCTTGGTAATAGCAAAACAGAAAATGATCTAAACGTCCATCAAGAGGGGCCTAGTTAAACTTACAAGGGAATGATAAGCAAAAGTTAAAAAGAGTGAGGTCATTTGAATAATTATAGACACATAAAACTGATAACCTGGTTGCTTCCTGAGAAGGGAAGTGGTAGACTGAAAAAAAAAAGAAAAAAAAAAAACAGTGGAGGTGGGGGCAGTGGACTTTTTACTGTATACCCCTACAAAGACTAGCAGACAGGAGCCACAGAGCTTTTGCATTTTGTACCATGTGATTATACTACATATTTAAAACACATGAAATAAGAGAGTAAGGTACAGGCAGTCCCCAGGTTACAAACGAGATCCATTCCTAAGTGTGTATTTAAGTCGAATTTGTAGGTAAGTCGGAACAGGTACATACGGTTTTTATTTAGTATCAGTCAAATATTTGTCTTTTAGTATATAGTATATATTTTATCTTTCTATGCCCACAAACCACTGAAACCGCACAGTGTTTTCATGAGTATTACAAAGTAGTGCATGCATTCATGATTATGAACCATTGTATTTAACTCAATTTTTTAATACAATAGGCTTTATAGCAGTTCATTCTTCAGTAGGAGTTGTCCCGTAAGTTGGATGTTCTTAACCCCAAGACTTGCTGTATTTCATGATGTACTGTCATAAGTTCTCAGAGATACCAAGGTAAGTTGAGAAAGCAAGTTATAGAACAAACAGAGTTCATGGTACAGTAAAACCTGCAAAAGCTAGAACCTGTGTAAGGTGGAAACCTGTCAGAGAGGTAAACTCAAATATTTTCCACTAATAGATAGGGTCGTTATGAGTAGGAACTGACTCGATGACAACGTGTTTGGTAATAGAGAGAGTGATAGTACAGTGGTAAGACTGTACCCTGTCGAAGGTGAAAAACTTGTGAGACCCGGAAAAACAAGGCAGCCCTGTCAAGTTCTGGCTCTCAGAGATTTCATTGTATTTGAGAGTCATTGGTGGTTTTAGCCAAATATTCCAGTTTTCCTCTTTTGGGCACACAGGAGAACTGCATTTCTTGGCTCCTTTGTTTGGATAACAGCATAAAAATGAGTAGAACTTCCAGGAATGAACATTTAACTGCCAGTACAAAGTATCTAGAATTCTCTTTTTCTTCTGTCACAGTAGCCAGCAATGTTCTGTGGCTGTTCTGTCACCTGGGACCTGGAACAGGGATGAACCACAATGGACAGGTAGCATGAGCAAGAACTAAATCTTTATTGTTTTAAGATGCAGAGTTTTGGGGGTTGTTTGTTACTGAAGCATAACCCAGCCCATTCTGACTGATACATGGTATCATTTCATTTTTGTTCATAAAAAATCTCCTTTGAGTGTGTGTGTATATTTGAGTGAGCAAGTGTGTGTGTGTGTGTGCGCGCGCGCGCGTGTGTACGAAAGGAATCTAGTAGGATTCAGCCAAATCTCTTGGAGTAGTCTAGGTTGTTGTCTGAGATGGGGCGCCTTTCACTTTTTACTTTGCACACTTCTGTACTAGTTGATTTTACTTATCCTTTTGACATCAAGCCTATATTACTGTTATAGTTAGAAAACCACAATCAAAACTTTCAGTAGCCGGCAAGCTCAGTGCCTGCCTGGCAGGGACACTCACCTCATTGAGGAGACCTCGTCAATGCGGTTCCCCAGCTGGGACTCATGGGACTTGCTTCGGGTGAGCGTGGGGAAGCTGGGCAGCAGCTGGAAGACCTTGCGGCTGGGTGGGGGGGGTGTCCGCGGCGGCTTGAGCTTGGTGTGCCGGCGCAGCTGTGGCGTGGTCGGGGGTGTGATGAAGCTGTGCAAGGCGCGGGGGGTCAGCCGGCCGCTGGCATGCAGCGGGATACAGGTGTCCGCGAGGCCCTCGCTGGGGCCAGGGGTTGAGGAGTCCAAGGCGGGTAGAGCTGACACGGAGACGGAGCGTGGGCCCTGGGCACTGCTGCCCACTCTGCCCAGCTGGGAGCTCCCTGGGGGGCAGGTCATGCTGGTTGGTAAGAGTGTGTCCGAGGAAGGTCCTGAGCTACTTTCTCGCTGGACATCCAATGGACTCCAGCCTGAATCTTCTTTGTGCTCCCCTCCTGTGGGCCAAGAAGTTGAGTCACAGCTGGTTGGGGCTAGAAGGGATTGACAGGTCTGGAGAGTTTAAGCACCTTGTCCAAGGTGGCACAGTTCCTTAACGGAAGGGCGAAGAACCCTTCAGCTAAGAGCCGTTGCCTGGTTTACAGAGGCCTCTCACACATCATCTTATACATTATCCAGCTAACTGCCCCACCAGGGCAGATATTACTGTCCCGTTTTACAGAGGGGGGAAATGAGGCCCAGAGAGGGAATGGCTACACAGTGCTGCTACTGGCAGGTTTTGGGGGAGTGAGCGGGGAACCCTCTCCCTCCAAAAGCAGGTGCCCTCAGAAAGGAAAGTGATGACTGATTATTAAGAGTCAGGAAACAAAACCATCGTGTTAAACAATAAATTCTATCAGCATACTATAGGGTAGTAAGGAAGAAGACTGCCAAAGGCAATAGAGAATGGAAAAAGGTGTGTAAAGAAAATGCACCCTGGATTCTCTAATTGTAACTCTAATTTAACTTATGGAAAATCCTTTCATTCCATAATTAGAGATTAAAAAAATAAATTTTAAATACATCTGGTATATATATATGTGTGTGTGTGTGTGTGTGTGTGTGTGTGTGTATATACACACACACAAAGATAAGTAAGCCATTGTCTTTAGTTACCTCGGCTTAACTGAATTGTGTTGCTACATGGGAAATATAAATATTAAAATTAATTACAATGCCAAAAAAAAAAAGAGCTAGGAATGGGGAGCTGGGGTGTGCGAAGGAAGGGAAGGGATCCACTTTAAGAAAAAGGGCTGTACCCACCTTCCAGGAGCAAACTGCCTTTGGGCTTGTAAAATGAGATCCTGCTACAAAGGGATCATAGTCGCTTCCTTCTGAGAGAAGCCTGTGAGTGACCGTCAGCTAGCTGCCCAGCCCTAAACTTTAAAGCTCCCCCCCAACAACCCCCTGTGACCCTCGTCCTTGCGGCTCTGTGGCGTTTGAACCTCCAGCTCAATAGCACGGTCTGTCCATTTATTCAAGCATCTGCTGGATGCTGGGTGTAAAAGCATAAAAAAGACACATCCCCTGCCCTTGAGGAGTCTAATGGGGATGACAGACACTTGACATTGCTGGAACAGAGATATGCACAAGAGCTGAGAGACACAGAGGAGGAGGACAAGGACCCTAAATCAGCCTGGGGGGGAGGGGTAGTCAGGGAAGGCCTCCCAGAGGAGGTGATACCTGAGCTGAATCTTATGATACACAGGAACCTGGTAGGAAAGAAGGTGGGAAAGGTGTACCAGATTGTGGAAATAGTATATGCAAAGATAAGAGTGTGCATGGCATATTCTAGTAACTATAAAGAGTTCCATGTGCCCTGAGAGATCAGGACAAGCCAGGGAGAAGCAAGAGATGAACGGGTCAGCCCAGCTGCGGCCAGCTCAGGAAGGGCACTGGATGTCTTGATAAGGACTTCAGATTTGACCCCGTAGGAGACAGACACTGCAGAGTTGGGTCAGGGAGAAAGGACCCCATTCTACATCCTACAGATGCCCAAGGGGCTGTCACAGGGAAGAAGAAGATACCTCTCTCCTCTCATGTTTATCAATGAGTGGAAAGTACAAGAAGGGAGATTCAGATTCACGACGAAAAGAACTTCCACACTGGATTCCTTCTACTAGATGCTTTCTATAGTCTGTCTCCCTCAATTCTCCCAGCAGTCTTGTTCCTCTGCCCAGTGTACAAGTGAGGCCATGCACACTGCCCAAGGCCAGACAGCTAAGTCAGTGGTGCAATGGGACCTGAACCCCTCTGTCTCAGCACTCTACCTCCTCCCACACTGCTATCAATTTTGATTAACCTACAATGGAACAGCCTTGAGAGGTAATGAACTCCTTGTCATCAGAGGTGGTCAAGCCTAAGCCTACAGAGTCATTTATCAGGGATGGTCAAGAAGGATTAGCCTTCACAGTCTCTCTGTACAGCCCGTACCTTCTTCTTCAAACATCCTTCCTCCTCCTTCACTGCACAGTGACTTTCTATTCATGAATCAACTTGGCAGAATGAGTTACTCACTCTCTGTGTTCCCACACTGCTTGCTCTTGGAGCCACGCCTTACATTTTTATTTATATACTGGCCTATGGCTATTTCCAAAAAATCTGCCATTGAAAACCCTATGGGGCATAGTTCTGCTCTGACACACATGGGTTGCCATGAGTTGGAGTCAACTTGACGGCAACTGGTTACTAAGAAGCCCTGAATACATTTTTCTTGTTGAATGTATGAAAGAATGAGTTCATGAACCTATAAATATAAACTCATTTGAACCAACCAAAACTACCAAGAGCAAGTCTGCCACCAAAACTAAATGAGCCCAAATTCTTCAAATTGCCTATTTAATCATCACTGCTTTTAGCCAGCTCAGGGATGGCAAATGGGTCTTGATTTGCAAGCCAGCACCAGTCGACTGGCAGTTACTGCTTGAGAGTGATGCTGGGGTCACTGAATAGAAAAGAGTTCATGGATTGATTAGTGATGTCTGCCACAGATAAAGGACAGGGAGCTTCAGCAAGAATGAACACCTATGCACCAGCTACTGGCACAGAGAACCATCCTTCACTCACCTTTCTTAAGACCAGAGACTAAGGGGAATGACTTTAACATCTTCCATCATCTCATAGGCCTAATATGTGCCCCCTGGCCTAACTGAATATGTTACCTTTACTCATTTAATTCTCACAACCCTAGGAGAAAGGTGTTTTATTATCCCCATTTTACAATGAGGAAACTGAGGTACGGTGAGGTTAAGTAACTGGCCAAAGATCACACGGCTTCTAAGTGGCTGAGCAGTCTGGTTTCAAAGTCCATGCTCTTTACTATGACACTAGCCTGCTTCTCAACAAGCCCTGTCGGGGTGCAATGAAGACTCACTGACTGTATGACCCAAGAGATGGGGGTGATCATTTGCACCTGCCCAGTCCCCAGCAGGTGCTCATGACATCAGCCACCTCTGGGCAGACAAAAGGCCTGTGTCCTGGACCAGGATTCTCTTGGGGCTGCAGGGGTACCACAAGCTACAGTCTAATGAGCAAGATGCAACCTGGAAAAGCTCCCCTCCCCAGGGCCTCCTCCTGGGCACAGTAGAAAATGTACCCTCTGAGGGAGAAACCTGAGTTCAAACCCCAGCTCTGCCACATGCCAGGTGCAGGACCCCACACAAGGCACCTAAGGCCTCTGATGCTCAGATGCTTTAGCTACAACATGAGCTTAACAATACTACTTAAGAGGTCGTTGCAACAGTGTGTGTCAAGTGCCTGGCCCAATGCCTGGAACACAGTAGGTGCTTAATAAATCAATGATCTCCCTACCCTGGCAGGCATCCAGGACAGGTGGAACCCAAGATGTCATAACACAAATGGCTACCGCCACTCAACAGCTGGCTCCTCCACAAGTCTTTAAAAACCAGGCATAAGGAGCTGGTAGGAAGGACTGACAAGTCACCCCAAAGATCCCAGCTTGGGGGACAGTCCTTCTACTCTTCCACAGGCGGAAACAACCACCAAGGACCAAGGCTCGAATCCCAGCTCTGCCACCGGCTGGCTATGTCATCGGCCAAGCCTCTTCCCCTCTCTGGGCTCAGTCTCCTCCTCTGTAAAATGGGACGAGGTGCGGACCACATTTCAGTCATGTTTATCTCCCAGCACCAGGCAGGAAGCTTGGCGTGTCGACATTTTCTGAACTGAGTGAAGCACTCGACACAGGCTCTGGGTTCAGAGGGGGACTTGGTACAATGGAGCCAGGGAAGAAATTAACCCTAATCCTCTCTGGAAAAAAATCAAGCTGAATATAAACCTCAGTGCCTTCCTTAAGCCTCAGGCAGGCGAAGATAAAACAGGTGGCTCAGATAATTAAAAAACAGGGCTAATTCCATTCATTAGGCTCATTTTAATGCTTTACCTGTGTGGTAGTCAAAGTATTAAGGCAGGCATTTGAAGCTGTTTCCAAGGCAAGATTTAGAAAGCCTGCAAATAATTCCCGAGGAACTCCTCATAATGCCAGGATTACACACTTTGCCGGGAACAGCCATGTACACGCTCCCAGCTGAAAAGCTGCACAATTTCTCTAATCAGGTTTGGCTCAGGCTAAGCCCAAATCAACGTGCCCCTTCTGAACACAGAGCCCAGCCAGCCACAGGGCCAGGAGGTGGTGGAGGCGGTCCAAGGGGCTGGAATGCAGGAAGCTGGTGGAGGCTTCGAAGAGCCCAACATATGCGCTCAAGAGAGGGCCCGCCCCGGCAGACTGGCCTGGAATGTCTAGCCACAGCTAATGAATGCCTCCCTGGGTGTGTAGTGCCCAGACCAGTCAGAACCCAAGCACTGAAGACCGTCTTGGGTCAGCTCCACCACATTCTCTCTGAACGTCTGCTCTGGCCTTTCCAAGCTGCCCCAGAAGCCCCAGGCCACACTCACCCCATCCTATCGTCAGCAGAGACCTCAGCCCCCAGGGAACCAGGCCAGCCCTGTGGAAAGGGAACCTAAGGGGCTGGCCTCGGCCCCTTGAGGCTCTACCTACCCCGGCCTGTCACCTTCCGCAGGCAGGTGAGGGCGTGCTGTAGGCGGCCACATTCCTCGGTGCTGGCCCTGCAGCGCCGCAGCGTCTCCTTCACCTTGGCCTCGTTCATGTCCAGCAGGGCATCCAGCGTGAGCTCGCTGGGTATCTCCTGAGGGCGCACAGAAGGGAGAGGCAGAGAGACGGGTAAGCAGTCAGGCAGGCCCAGGCGCCCTCGTCATCCTGCGCCCAGCCAGGGCCGGGCCTCCCTGCTGAGTGGCAGGGTCCAGCTGCTGGCTGGGCCAGCCTCCAACCAGGAGCCACCACTTATTTGAGGGCAGGCAAGGAGCTCTTGCCCCCACCCTGCCCTCCCAGAGACAGCAGCTGAAGCAGAGATGCCAGTGCTTCAGGGCTGGGGGTGGGGAAGGAGGGAAACAGAAGAGTCTGGAGGACGGCATGTTGCCCCCTTGTTTCCTCTGCACAGAAAATTTTCAAATCACAACTTTTTTAGAAAGACAAGTACTTCCAATAAAGGTGGCTCTTGACAATTTTGCTGTATCTGAATCAGACAACATAGATTTCAAATAAAACTGGCTTACCAAGGATTAAAAAAAAAAAAAAAATTAACCCTCACCAAGCACTGTGTAGGCACTTACTACTTTACCTTATTTAATTCTCCGTCAAAACCTTTTATTCTGCCCATTTGGCTACGGAGAGACGTTCAGAGAGGTTAAGTTACCTGTACAAATTCACTCAGCTAATAGGAGGAAAAGTGTGGTAGACAGAATTTTCAGATGGTCTCATGACCTCATATTGTTATTCCTGTGATTGTTATATTACATGGCAAAATGGAAACTGTCCAGGTAATCCTACACTAATCATATGAGCTCTTTAAAGCAGACAGTTTTCTCTGGATACAAAAAAAAAAAACAAAACAAAACCCGTTTCCGTCAAGTCAATTCTAACTCATAGCAACCCTATAGGACAGAGTAGAACTGCCCTATAGGACTTCCAAGGAGCAGCTGGTGGATTCGAACTGCCAACCTCTTGGTTAGTAGCCAAGCTCTTAAGTACTTCATCGCCAGGGCTCCACTCTCTGGATACTAGCGGAGACGAAGTCAGAGAGATTCGAAGCATGTGCTGTTGCTGACTTTCAAGGTGGAGGGGGCCACACGAAAAGGAATGCAGGTGGCCTCAGGAGAGTGAACAGCCCCTGGATGAGAACCAGCAAGGAAACCACCTCAGATATACAGCCACATGGGAACCGAATTCTGCCAATAGCCTTAACGAATATGGAAGGGGAATCTTCCCCAGAGTCTGCAGGTAAAAGCCCTGGCCAATACTTTGACTTCAGTCTTGTGGGCTCCTAAACAGATAACCTAGCCTAGCTGCCTGCTCCTTCCAGGGGAGTTAACAAGTGGGTGTTATTTTAAGCTTCTAAATTTGTGGCCATTTGTTGAGCGGCAATAGGAAGCTATCACAAAGAGCAAATCTTCAAATCAAGGCCTATCCGGCCTCATATCTTGAAGAAGGTAGGAAACCCCTCTGGCTGTGACTGAGCCAGGTGATACCAAGCCTGAAGCAGATACAAAGCACAATGGGACATGTTGCTGGCCTAGACTGGCTTGCAGTCCAGTAGGAGCAACTGACATGTAACAAGTAATTACAATGCAATAAGCTGGGGCTAGAATAGAGGAAACTCAAAGAGCTATGGGACCAGTGGTGAGATCAGGGATCTTTTTTTCTTCTTCTTTGCCCTTTTCTGTATTTTCCAAATTTTCTATAACAGAGGCAGCCAGACATACCATATCAAAATGATTCATACAAAGCTCACAGTTCTTGAGAATCTAAGTTGATTTTCAATGATTTTACAAAGTTGTGTCTAATTTCTTTTAAAAAGAGTAATTTTATTGTCAGTCAGTGCAGGCTGCTGTAAATCTTCGTCAAATCAAGTGTTAAAGCTGAAAGTGATGAAGATGCCGGCCCCAAGTCCTCAGGGCACTGGTGAGGGGGCTTCGTGACAATGCCTCAGAGGAGACCTGGCCCAGGCGGTCCCTGGCAACCACCACACTGTGAGGCCTGGTCAGATGCCTTTCTGTTTTGTCTATATGTTATGCAGTCTCTAGGGTTGTGGGCAAGAATCTCATCACTGTTTAGAATGATTCACACCAAAAGTAAGAAACAGACACGTAAAAGCACCAAGAAGCTCATCATTGGTTGGACGAACCCTTGGTTGTGAGAAATGCTTCCAGATGGTAAAACTGAAGCATCACAGGAAACTGCTGATAAGAACAGCACAGAGACGGGAGGCTGATTAGATAATGGCCCCAATGGCAGACACGTTTTATTCAATAAATGTGTCTTTATTTCCCTCAGCAACTGTTGTTCATGGAAATGAGGTTTTGACATCTTTCTCCCTTGCTTACTACGAAAAGCAACTTGGCCATATGGGCAGGGTGAGAACAAACAAAGGTGATGTTGACCTCAATACGACTGCACAAAGCAACCCTCCGCCTTTCTCTGGAACGTCCTCAGTTGCCACCCATACACAACGCAAAGCTGTGATGACTAGGCAGTTTTCTGCAAGCGATTCCTGTATGTGCTTGATCCCACTGGGGGTGGGGGGTGCACCAGGCATAGGAAATCCAATCCCCAACCTAACTATAATGCAAACAGGTATTTTTTCCTTTTTTGATTCCTCTCCCTGTCACTCCCACCAAGTTTCAGTTTCTCAAAAATAATAGGTACATTTATCATTTCATCCCTATTTGCCAGGTACAAGAAATACGCCCAGTGTTCTGTATACATTATCTTGTTGTTAGGTGCCCTAGAGTTTTCAGCTCATAGTGAGAATGCTGGTAAGCCCATTTTACTAAGGCTCAGAGACCTCACGTGAATAACGTAGCTTAATACATGGCTGGGGACCAGAATTTAAGCCCAGGTGGGCCGGATTCCAAAGCTCTTTCAATGATTCCACACTGCTGCTCGCTAACCTGGCACAGCCTTGGGATTCAGCAGCTTCCTTTTGTAGAATTTTTTTTGAAGTAACTAATTTCTACCTACTTACTGAGAAAACCACACCGTAAAGTAGAATATTCTTTGTCCTTAAGCAAGTACTGTAACTCCCTATAAAAGCTTAAGATGGAATATATTGAAATCCATGCCCTTTAAAAAAAAAAAAAAGGATTCCCCTATAGCTCGAAATTAGCTGGAAGGTTTATTTCTCCCCTGAGGTTTTGGGGATCAGTCCAGCCACCATTCTCCCCTCTCCTTTGCCCGTCTTTTTAGGCTCCAAACCAAATCAGAGGTCAGGAGCCAGCAAGACCAAACCAGGGGGCTTAAGGGGGGGGGTAGGAGAGCCAACCCAGGACCCCACTTTCTAACTTCACAGCCCCAAATTGGAGTTGCCCTGCCTCTCCCAGGGCAAGGAACTTAACAGCTCATAGCTTCCTCTGGTGTAAACTCTTTTTTTTTTTTTTTTTTTTTTTGGTGAGGATTCAATGAAATAACAAACACAGAATGCTTTTAGCACACCACTCAGCACTGAAGATCATGGTCATTATTTCTGAGGGGCTGTTCCTTTCATTCTCCAACATTCCATTCTATATGAAAGCTGCAGTCAATACGATGTGCCAGTCAGCAGGTCATCCTGCAGAGCAGAGGTCCCATGCCCACAAGCCTCAGGGCCAGGCCTTGGGGAGAAATGAGGCCAGCAGGAACAAGACCTCTTCCGTGTACCTTGTGATGGAGATACAGGTACTAGAAATACTTCTCTTTCCCCTTTACTGGCAAACAAGAACCCTGATAGCAGTAAGGACAGTGTTAATCAGAAACTCAGCCTCTGCCCTCACTCAAAGTTGGGGAAGACAAGGGAGGCTATGGGAGGGGGTCCAGAATTTCTGGCTTTTCGAGAATTAAAATTTTTATTTTAAAATGGCCGATTTTTACACGATGGCAACTAATTCAAATCTGTGCAGGCAAGAGAAGTCATGTCTGCGGGTTACACGGAGCCCCCAGGCTCCAGTGTGGGGGCCCTGGATGAAGAATCTGATGGATTTGAAGGCTGCCCAATCAGCAATGTCGAAAGCTCTATCTCTGTAAGCAAACGGGGAGGGGTGGGCGGCCCTGCAGCAAGTACACTGGACAACATATCAGTGGGTGGCCAGGCCTTCTCAGTGAGGCATCACTCTGGCTTTGGGGTTCTCAACTCAGAAGCCAAATGCCCTGGCCTTCTGACTCTTGGGTCCAACTTCAGGGCCTGCAGTTAATTTAATCAAAAGGGAAAAGTCTACCGAACAGGCATGCCTGAACCAGGAGAACTCGTATACAAAGAAAAGCATCCTCCCCACTCTGGCCTGGGCCCCCAGCTAGACAGCAGGTAGGCAGGAGGCCCAGTGGCTGCACATGCCCCTAGGGGTGACCCTGATACCTCCTAGTATCATGATTCAAGTCGGGCCCCAAAGCAACTTGGCACCCCCAAACCTCACACGCAGATGTGGCTCACCCACCTACAATGATACTGACAGCCAAGACTGAGTTAGGAAGCTATTCCAAACCAGAGTACTGGTTTCCCCCGCTATCAGAAAGCAGAGTGTTCCTATGAAACCTTTCATAAGCCGAAATGGCGTAAAGCAAAGATGCAATTACCATTCATTTATTTTTGAGCATTCCCAGACCTCAAAAATAAACTACCAAATCATACCAAATAATACATAAAACCTAAAATAACACTAACATATAGTAAAAGCAGGAGGATGTGATAAATACACAGCCTATATAAAGTAGAAATAATGTATGTACACTGCAGTTTCAGTTGCCAGATCGCTGCCTCTTTAACAGCTTGCTGCAAAACAGACGTTGAATGCTATTGGCGCTTTTCGCCTTTTTTCATAAAAGCAAAAATCCTCTTCGAGTTTCTTTCAGTCAGTGGAAACAGGTATTATGTAGGTCTTTTGTAAAAGCGAACTTTCAAAAAGTGGGAGATAAGCTGTAATTCACTTACAACTTTTCTGGGTAATCTCTAAGTGGAAAACAAATTAGGGAATCAGTTTTACCACCTGCTGAAGTGAAATCACAGGCCTGTCAACCACCTGGGAGGTGAACCCACTACTTTGAAACTCTCCCAGGTCTGAGAAGCCCCAAGGCCCCAAGAAGGTACCCCACCTGGAGCCA